CATGAGTCAGACAGTAATCAGATTTCTACTCCAGCCAATAAACTCACAGAAAAAAACATGACGTAAACGTAATGTAAAACTCGAACTTCATGCTGCAATGTTTTTTAAAAAACAAGCACTGAAAAATTAATTTCAGTGCTTTATCAGAAATAAACACGATCACACTAAACAACATTTAACTCTCCCTTTGAACAAGATTTCTTATACCTGATTAAAATGACTCATGTTGTTGGAAAACAGCTGCCTCAAAATACGCTTTGCTCTGAACCAGCCTGCAGCGCACTTGTACCAGGTATTTAGTGCTCTTAACAACTTTGATCAAAGGGAAATTCCACAGATTTTTCAAAATTTCTGTATAATTCACAGTGTGAGATGTAATCAGAGCGATTCAGAGTGGTTTGGTGTGAAATGGTTCAGATGTCTTTACAGTGGTGGTGATAGGAACCAGGGGTCGCCATGACTACAACACAGATATAGACATTTTATTTACTATCCAGAACCACCAGTGAACCTACACGAGTCTTCTGAGTTTATATGGAATGTCGATGATGATGAAATAAGTTTGGGGACTATTTTATCTGAGAACACCCTTCTTATATCCTTCCACCATGAATGGATTGAATAAACTGATTAAAATGTTTTAGACCAAAAACGTCGTCAAAAAACAATCGTAAAACAGTGTCTCAGACATCAGGCAGTGAATTCATAACATTCTAAGAGGGAGCTTTTTAGAGGTGGACGTCTAGTTCCTATCACCACCACTGTGAACGATTCTGACTCGGGTCTGCATGCTAATGACTATAAGTTGTGGTTTGAACTGTTCTTTTTAACAGTGTACCATTAAAACAAAATACAAAAAACTAAAACATCTAGCTTTAACTGCGCTCAGTGTAGTCTACGTTAGGTGCAGCTGTGGTTGTAATAAACCTATTCTGAGACCACATTTGTAGTCGGAAGTTTATTTGGTTGGCTGTGGCTTATTGTTCGTTTCTCTGTGGGCCTCTTTCAAGTTGTAAGCTGTATGGTGGCCTACCCTGTATAACATAGTAACTGCACTAACTTCATTTTTTTTGTTTACTAATTTGTTGAAATTACTTATTTGCATCTAGCAAAGAGTGTTTTGCCCAAAACCTTCTTTTTTCTGATTTATGAATACGGTCCTCTTTATAACATGCTATTTTAGTGTCAGTGTGTACTCTCATGTGCAGTTTGGATGTATTTTACATGTTTGTTTGATGGAGTTTAGCGTTCAGGTTTATCAGTTCAGTCTGGAGCCGTAAACGCTAACAGATCAGCAAACATGCATAAAGATATTAGAGTCAGAAACGGCTGATTCTGGTCTGATCTAAGCCGTTTATTCAGTGCTGTACAAACCAGTCCATTTAATGTAATGGAGTTGTTTTAATTGATGCTATTAAATTACACCACGAAGAGTGTTTCAAGTTAATCTGACTAATTACTGATTAATCAGAGGGTGTAAAAGTAGAGACTGCAGCTCGGTGGACACTGTTTACCCTGACTGGACTGCTTGAGTTAAACTTTGTGGATCACTGAACATCAGGAAGTAACTGTAACTCAGATATTCAGTTATTAAAGCTTCAACTTGTGATGTAACTTAATTTTTTTGAGGCAATAAGTTTGTAAAAGTAAAGTCGACTCATTTAAATTGACACTGTATCACGTCCCATTAGAGACTATTCATTTTAGAGAAACTTTACAGTGGTGGTGATAGGAACCAGGGGTCGCCATGACTACAACACAAATATAGACATTTTATTTACTATCCAGAACCACCAGTGAACCTACACGAGTTTATATGGAATGTTGTTTATGGTAAAATAGTGGAAAATCTGAAATAATAAGTTTCCTTTGGGAAGCATTTTGCCTCACAACACCCTGCATATTATAACCACCATGGCTGGATTTTAAGGCCAGAATCTTCTCAAAACTATCATAAAAGTGTGTCTCAGTCATCAGGCAGTGAATTCATAACCATTTCATGTAGTAACTTTCTGTGAGGGAGCTTTTAGAGGTGGACGTCTGGTTCCTATCACCACCACTGTGAACAATTCTGACTCGGTAAGTTTCTCTAGAACAGAGCGTTTCACACCAAACGACTCTGAACCACTCTGTTTACATCTTAATCAGTTAACTATGTAGGAATTTTGAAAAATAGGTGGTGTTCCCCTTTAAAGAACATAACATACTGGTGCTAAAACTAGCGCGTTGTTAGTAAGATGTCTGTTTTAAGAGTGTATATTTCAGAAAAACAGCTAGTTGTGTGTTTGCAGCGCTGTGGGTCGGGGGGGTTAAAGGGTTCTGTATCAAGGTCACACATACATCACTGCTCGCATTGAGTCACATTCATGTGGGATTCACAGGAAGTTACTCACACACACCTTTCTCTACTACCTACAGGGCCGTTTCCCCCACCCAGCCTGGTCTAATACACGTTAAGAAAACAAGAAAAACTATAAACTACTACTTACAGAAGAAACTGAATCTTTAAACAAACCATCACATAAATTCGAATAAAATCAATGTGTAAAAAAAATAATTTGTTATAATAAAGACTTTTACATTTACTTACCATTTAATGTTATTTTTCGATGAAGATTAAGACACAGTGAACCCAATACAGTCAAAGATCATTCTTTACCCAACAGAGAGGCGTTTCACCTAGTCTAATGTGAAGTGGCCTAACACGTCTCGTCCCAGATGTTACCCAGTTAGCTGCTAACTCTTTCATTTGAACAATTTTTCAAAACTTCTGCATAATTAAACAGTTAAGATGTAAACAGAGCCATTCAGAGTGGTTTGGTGTGAAACACTCCGTTCTAGAGAAACTTACAGAGTCAGAACTGTTCACAGTGGTGGTGATAGGAACCAGACGTCCACCTCTAAAAGCTCCCTCACAGAAAGTTCCTACATAAAATGGTTATGAATTCACTGCCTGATGTCTGAGAACATTGGGCCTCATCCTTTAATACCTTTGTAAGTTTGTTCTTAAGTGTGTTCTTGTGAAAGGTCCTAAGAAGTCTACGTCAGATTCATGGCGTGTTCTTAAAGCGCAGAACTGTTCTCACCTTGCTCTTAAGTGTGTGTACACTCTTAACCCTCTATTGCATGATGTTGCCTCAGGGCAACAAACTCAATACAATAACATCATGCATATTTAAAGACAACGATAGGGTTAACAATGAAGGGAAGAGTTTGTCAGTATGTCAATAAAAAGCATGTTCTTGGTCATACTGTCTCTTTAAACCTCTTTTTAAACATTGAGTTTAATTTTTTTGTCATGAGATTTTGCAGAAATATGTTTGTTGCCTAGAAGCTCGCGACATCCACCATCTGATCTCGCGCATACACAGACTGAGAAATCCGAAAGAAATCAGAGTAAGAGTTTACATGCACTGAGAAATCTGATTACTGAGCTAAAATCCGGCCTCTTTATCAGATTTCTTAATCAGATTTCTAGAGCAGAGTATGGTGTTTACATGACCTTTTGAATAATCGGATAACTGCAGAAATCCGATTATGATCGGATTATTGAGTGCATGTATACGCATTCAGTCTGATGGCAGCTAACGGAACTGGCAGTTAGTGTTCTCCTCTAAGCACGTTCAGCTGTTCTTTGTCGTTGCGTTAGCAGCAGTTTGAAAAGATGCAGTGACCCCTGGTTCCTATCACCACCACTGTAAAGACATATGAACCATTTCACACCAAACCACTCTGAATCTCTCTGTTTACATCTTAAACACTGAATTATTTTGAAATCTTGAAAGATCAGTTGAATTCTCCTTTAATAGTGCGAGCAGGAAAACAGATAACAACAAGGCTGGAAGTCGATCCCAAAAAGAGTCGAATCTCTGGTTCCACACGTTTGGGATTCGGGAGTTGACTCCAAGGCTTTGTGAGACTGTTCTGAACCCATCAGCCATAACATTAAAACCACCTCCTTGTTTCTACACCCAGTGTCCATTTTATCAGCTCCACTGACCACATAGTTTCACTCTGTAGTTCTACAGTTACAGACTGTAGTCCATCTGTTTCTCTGATACTTTATTAGCCCCCTTTTACCCTGTTCTTCAGTGGTCAGGACCCCCATGGACCCTCACAGAGCAGGTACTATTTGGGTGGTGAATCATTCTCAGCACTGCAGTAACACTGATGTGGTGGTAATGTGTTAGTGTGTGTTGCGCTGGTACGAGTGGATCAGACACAGCAGTGCTGCTGGAGTTTTTAAACACTGTGTCCACTCACTGTCCACTCTATTAGACACTCCTACCTTGTCGGTCCACCTTGTAGATGTAAAGTCAGAGACGATAGCTCATCTGCTGCTGCACAGTTTGTGTTGGTCATCCTCTAGTCCTTCATCAGTGGTCACAGGATGCTGTTGGCTGGATGTTTTTGGTTGGTGGACTATTCTCAGTCCAGCAGTGACACTGAGGTGTTTAAAAACTCCAGCAGCACTGCTGTGTCAGAATTAGAAATCGTATTCTTTGGCTTGCCGTGATATCATGGTTTGTAGTGTAGACGGTTGTGCTGCTCAGTAAAGCCACCCCTGTTTTTCTCTTTGAACAAAGTGGGTGTAAAATAAAATGTAGACTCTGTGATTAAAAGTGTCTCACAGTCGCAGAAACGTTCTGCTTTTCTGGTGATGCTGCATCACTTTTGCGCGATAACACATTTTGACGCTTCTCCCGAGCGACAGGCCATTAGAATCTTATACGATATACGACGTCAGTGAGTTTTGTATTCTCATCTACAAGCAGGGAAATGACTGTTTATGTGGTAACTAACCACATACTGCAGACAGCAGGTTGAAAAGCGCTGAAGGATTCCTCTGAAGCAGTGGATCTGCGCGTAGCCCCGCAGACTCCCTGATCTGAAGGCTTTAGACTGAGAGGAGCTTGTCTTGGTGAAAACGGTGTTGATGTAAACAGACTGTACAGAATATAGACAGTAAATAACTGACTGAGTGCTCTGTGTGTTCACAGATGATTTCGGAGGCCCTCAGCCCGGACGTTCACTCTCCAACGGAGGTGCAGCGTCCACGCAGACGCTCACGCACGCCCACCCCACCATCCAGCACAGCCTCAGCCTCAACGGTAACACATACATACATAAATACATACACAGTTGTGTGTGAGGTTTGTTTTTGATGTTGTTCTGAGTGTGAATAAGTGAACACATCCTCTACTGAGACACACTTCTGCACATACAGTCGTCGTTTATTTACTGAATTTCACACTTTGGAGGAAATAAACACGTAAAATGTGGCCTGTGCAAAAGTTATGGCACATGCTTTGTGTTTGAACCGCAATGTGTTAAACATAAACTAGCAGAAATAATATCATATTTAGGTGTGTTCTCTGTAGAGGATGTGTTTCTTGTTTTCATGAAACATTATTAATTAGACTGGGGGCGTTCAAAAATTTGCATACAGTATGTCACTAATTTTACTAGATTTACTACATCCATCCATCAATCAATCACTCAATCAATCAATCAATCAATCAGTCAATCAATCCGTCATTATTTAAACTCGGAGTACATTCAGGGAGACCCTCATTTACAATGTAGCTGAGCCAATACAGAAATCAGGGATTAATAAGTTAAATAGTAAAAACACAACAAATGCTAAGAAGTAATAATAATCGTAATAGTAAATTTAAAACAATAAATCAATAAAGCATTAAAATACAACAATATAATAACTTAATAAATAAGATAAAATAAGGATTAAAAAAATAGGATGGATGGAAATAAAGATAGAAATAAAAGATGTAAAATAATAGCTTGCCAATATTAAAACAGATAAAAACAAAATAAGAAAAAAAGAAACAATACTTTACTGAAACCCTGGTTATACAGTATAACATAACAAACTCTTTCAGATCTAATTTGTTGGTGTGATTGTCTGTGTCTGTGTTGCTGTGAGGATATTGGCCTCAGTACTACTGACTGGACTGAAAGTCAGAGGTGATGTTTATTTGTGCTGTTTGTTTTTTCGCTCTGCTCTCTCTCGCATTACAGATACGTTTCTCCGCAATGTGCCGAGGCCCCTCCCCCTTCAGCCCGACAGCCAATCGGCTGCAGCGGTTGAACAGCGCCCCCTGCTGTTCCCTCTGAGCCGGCCGGACTCCAGCAGCTTCGCCACCAGCCTCCGAGAACTGGAGAAGGTCAGATGTTCTCCTGCAGTAATGCTCTCCCCTCTGTATCTCTCTCTCTCTCTCTCTCTCTCTCTCTCTGTCTATCTGTCCATCCCTCTGTCTCTCAGTTTATATACACTGCCTGTCAAAAGTTTAGGCACCCCTGGCTTTTCATACTGTTTTAATGCCAGTGATCGGATATCGGATTTCAGTCCGGCTGACCGGAGACAAAATTGACTACCTCCGAGTTGCCTTGTCGTCAGGAGTAATGAAAATAGTTTAAAGTTTGACATATTAGGCTTAAATTCGATACGCAGATGTTTGCCCACAACATAAAAACATAAAAAACTACAAAAAAGGATTTAGCTTTGAACTATTTTATAAATACCTCGTCAAAGTCTAATAAATGTCTGCTGTATTTCACCAAAAGAAGCCTTATGTTGTCTTTTAAACCAAAAAAAGAACAATCTAATGTAATAATATCAATAATAATGTCGACTGTTAGGCCTGTATCTCCCACATAATTGCACCGCATATCCACAATCTGATTGGTCACCACTCAGCTCATTTGCATAAAATTTGTCCAGAATGAGAGAGCAGAGTGTGATGTGTGTCAGTGGTTTGATGTATCAGTTAGATATTGTTTATAGTATCTATACAAATATAGTATATAGAAATACAGTGGATGTAAAAAGTCTACACGCCCCTGTTAAAATGCCAGGTTTTTGTCATGTAAAAAAATCAGACCATTTTGGATTTATTTCCACCTTCAATGTGACCCATAATCTGTACAATTCCATTGAAAAGCAAACTGAAATTATTTAGAGGGGGAAAATAAAAATAACAAAACTAAAATAATGTGGTTGCATAAATATGCACACCCTTAAACTAATGCTTTGTTGCAGTACCCTTTGACTTTATGACAGCATTCAGTCTTTTTGGGTAGGAGTCTATCAGTGTGGCACATCTTAACTTGGCAATCTTTGCCCACTCTGCCTTGCGAAAGTGCTCCAGATCTGTCAGATTGCGAGGGCGTCTCCTGTGTACAGCCCTCTTCAGGTCTACCCACAGACTTCCAGTGGGATTCAGGTCTGGGCTCTGTCTGGGCCTTTCCAAAACTATGATCTGCCTCTGGCGAAGCCATTCTTCTGTTGATTTGAAAGTATGCTTTGGGTCATTGTCGTGCTGAAAGGTGAAATTCCTCTTCATCTTCAGCTTTTTAGCAGAGGCCTGAAGGTTTTGTGCCAAAATAGACTGATATTTGGATCTGTTCATAATCCTCTCCACCTTGACTAAAGCCCCAGTTCCTGCAGAAAAACAGCCCCAAAGCATAATGCAGCCTCCACCATGCTTCACTCTGGGTATGGTGTTCTTTTGGTGATGCGCAGTGTTGGCTTTGCGCCAAACATGCCTTTTAGAATTATGGCCAAAAAGATCAACCTTGGTCTCATCAGACCAGAACACGTGTTCCCACATACTTTTGGCAGACTTGATGTATGTTTTGGCAAAATATAGCCGGGCTTGGATGTTTTACTTTGTTAGGAAAGGCTTCTGTCCTGCCACCCGACCCCACAGCCCAGACATGTAATGTCAATGTTGTGCCAAATTTAATCCATTCTTGGTGACCGTCTTCACTGTGTTCCATGGTATATCTAATGGCTTGGAATATTTTTCCTTTCTCCTGACTGATACCTTTCAACAGTCAGATCCCTTTGATGTGTTGTAAGCTCTTTACAAACCATGGCTTTTGCTGTAAAATGCAACTAAGAAAATGTCAGGAAAATCCTACTAGAACAGCTGAACTTTATATGGGGTTAATCAGTATCACTTTAAACGATGACAGCTGTGTACTGACTACTATTTAACATGAGTTTAAATGTGATTGGCTAATTCTGAACACAACCACATCCCCAATCACAAGAGGGTGTTCACACTTATGCAACCACATTATTTTAGTTTTGTTATTTTTATTTTTCCCCTCTAAACGTTTTCAGTTTGTTTTTCAATGGAATTGTACCGATTATGGGTCACACTGAAGGCGGAAATAAATCTGAAATGATTCATCTCGGTCAGATTTTTTTTACATGACAAAATCCTGGCATTTTAACAGGGGCGTGTAGACTTTTTATATCCACTGTATGTATAAATTATAGTATATAATGTCGTCACTCGCCTCATTATTATAGCACTGTATGACACATCCTGCTAAAAATTTCAGGACCCTTTACTCAAAACACTTTCCCACATCCCTGGTGCCTTCGGCTATATTTCCGTGTAAAACGATCACTCACAATCTTTCTTATTCTTTCTCACACACAGCGCCTCCGTCTGAGTAACAACCACAAGAAGGACGTTCCGTTTTCAGTGAGATCCTGAGTGATAAGACAGTGATGACAGTCAAAACCATCAAATTAAACTCTTTAAATGAAAACAAAACCTACAGCAGCACATATGTATAGGTAGCTATATACATTAAACTGTTAGAAATGAAGGTTCTGTTCAGGTACATTTTCGTCCATCAAGGTACAAACAGTGTCAATGTTCCCTCAAAGCTCCAACAGTGGATTTAAGGTCTGATTGTGAACCTTAAATAAGTGTTTCCAGGTGAAAAGTTCGTATTTGTACCTTTTCATAACCGAATGTTTTAGTACAGAACAGTAAAATAAAAGCCTGGAGACGAGACGGGGTGTGTGGAGTCAGTACAGCTTAGAACATATCATTTCAGTGGATTATGGTTCAGTTATGTTCCCTGACTAAAGGTACCCTTGAGAGTGTAGGTAGGATATTTTGATAGCTTAAATCACCTGATCAACATAATACCAGCAAAGCGAGCTGGTTTGCATGGTTTTTAAGGAAGCTCCCAGTCTATTGGTGTCAATTCAGTGCACAGTAGCATTAGCTTACATGAAGTAATATTCATATTTCGACTTTTTAACAACCTCGTAATTCAGAGGATCCAGTGATATTCAAGAGAAGAATGTTCACGACAAAACATATCAGCTTTGGAACATTTTTGATTATCACAGGATGCGACAGAGGCAGTTTTCAAAACTCCATTGATTTTTCTCATAGAGAAATTCCTCTTAGACCCAGAGTTCCTTATAAAGGCAAAAGAGCGCTGACTACAGAATGACCACACGACTGTAGCGGTCTGTGTGAGCTGCGGTGCAGACTGAACATGCTGCTCAGCCTCTCTGAACAGGGCAGACGCAGACAGAGGTGTGTTTTTGAACAGAAAAAGTCAATCAAGGTGTCTAAAAAAGTCACCAAGTCTAGTGATGAAGTGGCTCAGTTGGCAATATTGCCTTTAACAGCAGAAAGGTTTTAGTGGGCTGTGCATTAATACTGAATTTGGCTGTGGTGAGTTGGCCAGGTGTGCTTATATGGAGTATTTGAATGCAGCTCAGCCAATCAGGTTTCAGGACCAGAACTATACGCTTTAAAAGTGAAAATAAATGAGCACATCCTCCACAGAGACACACTTCTGCACATTTTACTGCACAGTTACTGTTTATTTACTGAATTTAACATATTGGGGAAAAATATAATACACAATGTGGCCTGTGCAAAAGTTATGGCCCCTTTTATATGTTATGTTTTATCCCTAATGTGTTAACCTTGCAAATCAATATGAATTAGCAGAAAATATTTAAGTGTTTTCTCTGTAGAGGATGTGTTCGCTTATTTTCACAAAACATAATTAGACTAGGGGTGTTCAAATCTTTGCATACAGTATTTCACAAACTTTACCGGATTAATCAATCCATATAATGATAATAATAATAATAATAATAGTAATGATAATAATATTATTAACAGCTCTTTTTGAGTTATTTCACAAAACAGTCAGTTTGGTTTCATCACTTAAACCCAATTTATATAACATAGCATTGCCATAAACATGCACTGGCAGATCTCATATGCTGTCATGAGATGTTATAACAGATTATGTTCAGTGTTATAAGTGGTATGGTATCATTACCGCTAATTGTCATAATATTTGATGTTATGACAGCTAACTAGAGCACACAACAAAAATTACTATGTAACGTGGGCTGTTATAACGTCAAACATTGCGGCACTGTTATATTTCTGAACATAATCTGCCATAACACGTTTAAAGCATGGTTATGTCAGTGTTATGCAGCAGCCTTCAAGTTAACGGTAACACTTTACTGTACTGCAGTGTTCATAAGGCTACGTGACACCTACGTAAGCTTGTCATGACAACTGGCATAACCCTACATAAATGTTTATGAATGCTTAATCCATTAGGCATCTTCTGTCATAACGGCTAGTTTAGCTAATTTTGATCAAAACTGCCAAATGTAACCTTTATAGTGAATGACGCATATTGGAATAAGCATTTATACACATTTATGTAGGGTTATGTCAGCTGTCATGACAAGCTTATATAGCCTTATGAACATTGCCCTATAGTAAAGTCTTACCAAGTTAACTCAGCAGATGAACAGACGTTATGCACTAAAATCTGCAGAAAAATGCCATGTTTAAGCGAGTTCTCTGTACAGGATGTTTTCACTCGTTTTCACTTAGAAAATCAGCTGAAACGTGTGTTTATCAGCGCGGAGTGTGTGTTATATTGAGGCTCTGAGTTTAGTCTAAATCTAGACTCCTGGTTACCGCGGTTACAGGATGTGTAACCGCTCCTGTATGTGTGTCAGTGAGTCTGTGCTGAGGCGGTTTTGTCGTGTTTTTCCTGTGCACCTGTGTGACGCTGCGCTCTCTCTCTCTGCGGCAGTGTGGGTGGTACTGGGGTCCGATGAACTGGGAGGACGCCGAGATGAAGCTGAAGGGGACAGCAGACGGATCCTTCCTGGTGCGGGACAGTTCAGACCCCCGATACATCCTCAGCCTCAGTTTCCGCTCGCAGGGCGTCACCCACCACACACGCATGGAGCACTACAGAGGTACCACACATACCATACACTAATAATAATAATAACAACAATAATAATAATGCTTTCTTTTCCAGTCCCTTACGTTCTAGGCATTAACTGGGTAAGCCTGTGGTACAAACTGTACCTGTCAGGGGGAACCCAGACAAAATACACAGCCCTCATTTAACAGTACACATCTGCAGGAGTCAAGTCAAAGTGGAGAGGACAGATTCTGCAACAGCAGACCACCAAACCAGCCAACAGAAAAGCAAAAACTAACCGAAAAACGACAAATATGACGAGCTCCCATTATCGTACAAACCCTGACTCAAGGGAAGCAGCATAAAAGAGTCCAAATCCCAAATCAGAAAACAATTTTATTAAGGGAAATAAAGAATTTTAAAAACAAAGAGAACTAGTGGAGGTTGGAGGCCCTGCTGCTGCAGGAGGACAGTGAAGAGCTCTCAGAAGAAAGGTGTTCTAGATATTAAGGTGAAGAAGGACATATTAAAATAACCCCTTTGGGATGAGTTGGAGTGATGAAGCTCCACTGAACCTACAGTGGTGCTTCAAAAGTTTGTGAACCCTTTGGAATTTTCTATATTTCTGCATAAATTTGACCTAAAACATCATCAGATTTGAACACAAGTCCTAATAGTAGATGAAGAGAACCAAATTAAACAAACGAGATAAAAATATTAGAAATGATCCAGTATTACAGTTCTGTGAGTGGCAAAAGTGTGTGAACCTTTAGAATTAGCAGACAGTTTGAAGGTGAAATTAGGATCAGGTGTTTTTAATCAATGGGACGGCAATCAGGTGTGAGTGACCACCCTGTTTTATTTAAAGAACAGGGATCTATCACAGTCTGATCTTCATAGCACATGCTTGTGGAAGTACATCATGACACAAACAAAGGAGGTTTCTGAGGAAGAAGAAGAAGAGCTGTTGATGCTCATCAGGCTGGAAAATGTTACAAAACCGTCTCTAAAGAGTTTGGACTCCAATCACAGTCAGACAGACTGTGTACAAATGGAGGAAATTCAGGACCACAGCTACGCTCCCTAGGAGTGGTCGACCAACAAAGGTCACACCAAGAGCAAGACGTGTAATAGTCCTCGAGGTCACAAAGGAACCCAGGGTAACTTCTAAGCAACTAAAGGCCTGTCTCACAGTGGCTAATGTTAATGTTCACCATCAGGAGAACACTGAACAACAATGGTGTGCATGGCAGAGTTGCAAGGAGCAGCCACTGCTCTTCAAAATAGAACGTTGCTGCCCGTCTGCAGTTTGCTAAAGATCACATGGACAAGCCAAAAGGCTTTTGGAACAATGCTTTCTGAACATATGAGACCAAAATAGATCTTTTTGGTTTAAATAAGAAGCGTTATGTTTGGAGAAAGGAAAACACTGCATTCCAGCATAAAAACCTTATCCCATCTGTGAAACATGGTGGTGGTAGTATCATGGTTTGGGCCTGTTTTGCTGCATCTGGGTCAGGACGACTTACCATCATTGATGGAACAATTTTCCTCAATAAATAAATGACCATGTTTAATATTTTGTCTTGTTTATTTAACTTGGTTCCCTTTATCTACTATTAGGACTTCTGATGAATCTGATGAAGTTTTTGGTCAAATTTGTGCAGAAATATAGAAAATTCTAAAGGGTTCACAAACTTTCAAACACCACTGTATGTGGGATGAGTGGGAGTGATGACGCTCTAGTGAAAAGTGTATATAGTGTGGCTATGTTGTTGTGCTGACGTATTGAAATAAAAGAGCAGAAACCCAGTTTTACTGAGGGGTTTGTAAAGCGGTTGAATGTGAAGTTCAATCCTGGAACAGACAGTGGCTGTTTCTGTTAGAAAACAGGAAGAGGAGGAGGTGTAGCTGCTGTCTGGTGGCTTTAAAAAGCGGAACTGCTCCGATTCTGGCTTAAAACGTTTGTTTCCCTCAAACAGTCAGAATCAGTAACGTCTGTGTTTCCTTCACTCACAGTTTGAGTTTTATTTCACTCCTTAGTTTTGTCACTTCCATGTAAAGCATGACTCCAAAATCAAGGCTAATGACTGATTTGAAGCTCTTTACGCTTTCCAGCTTGAACAGCTTGGACGTTTTGGCCTTGGTGTTTCCCTCATTTTGCATCCAGTAACTATGTTAGGTTGGTACATATACAGCATAGAGGTGTTTAACACATCCAGTACAGAGACACACTTCTACACACTTTAATACACAATTACTGAGTTTAACATACTGGGGAAGAACATAATACACAGTGTGCCATAACTTTTGCACAGGCCACTACCAAACAAAAAAAAAATATATATGTCCTGACTGTTAACATTGCTTCTCTACTTTTATGTACTTGAGTATGTTTAAGTCTAGATATATGTCTTAGTTCTGTACGAGGGCTGGAAGATATGATAATATTTATCATTATTGTGATTTCTACAACAGGTCACGCGAGCTGATTGGTTGAGAAGTGTTCTAATTGTGCTGTTATTTCGCCATAATATCACGTTTTTATCACAAACACTGTATCACTCCGCTGAGACGCCGTTGCTAAGCAACGACTTTTACAGCTGCAGGAGAGACGCTCAAGCCATTTGAACGTTTTCACTTCTTACTTTGCCACAAACAGAAAATGGACACTTTTAAGATCACATTTGACCGACAGCCGATTTGGTCAGACTCTGAAGATGAGACGACACTAAATTCCCAAACTGTCATCACCACTGAGCAGCTTTTCAGTCGGCAGTGGATCAGTGCTGATTAAGTTGGTCTGGTGCTGATTAAGTTGGTCTGGTGCTGGTTTATGCTGGTCTGGTGCTGATTAAGTTGGTCTGGTGCTGGTTTATGCTGGTCTGGTGCTGATTAAGTTGGTCTGGTGCTGGTTAACACTGGTTTTATTATAAAAATATATTTATTATAAATAAAAAATCAAAAAATCTTTACACTTTAAGAATATTTTACACGTATTGCACATGGAATATTGCACACAGAGTACTGATTATATTGCACACAGGTTTGTTAATAGGTTGACAGTTTACCTACTATAGGTGTGTGAGGTCTAACGGTGGGTGGGGGGGGCAGTCCTGGTTGTACAGTCTAAGTAAATATTGTGACATATCGTGAAAAAGTATCGATTTTTGCCGTATCGTTGAGCTCTACTTAACACTACCTCCGCATTAAACTGGGTTAGATTGTTCTGTAATTGTCCCTCTGCTGCTCTGCTGAGGGAAAACACTCTGAAAAGGCATTTAAACTACTAGCACTGGCGCCCTCCAGTGGACAGTAGTAACACTGCATGTTTTCTGCCAGTTTTCCCAGCAGCTCCTGTCCAGATCTTTCCTTGTGGCTGGTAGAGTCGAGGTGCTGTATGTACTGCCTCCCACAGGACAAGCAGCTGTTGTTCTGCTATTTTTGCTTATTTATATATTGTTATGCATGTAAAGTTCCTTATAAATCTGCCCTCAGTCTCTCTTCTTCTACACTCTTAAAAAAGATGTTTTTTAAGGGTTCTTTAGTAAAGAAAATGGTTCTATATAGAACCTTAACCACTCAAAGAACCATTTGCATGATTAAATGGTTCTTTGCATCATGAAAAGGTTCTTCAGAATGATGCATAATGTGTTCTATATGACACCAAAAAGGGTTCTACAGTTGTGACGATGTGAAGCTTTTAACCCTTGTTGGTGCTACATAGCACCATTTTCAAAAAGGTTCTATATAGAACCATCTGAACAACCATTTCACCATGCAGAGAACCATTTCATCATGCAAAGGGTTCTTTGAGTGGTCATATTTCTAAATAGAACCATTTTCTTCAATGAATAACCCCTAAAGAACCTTCTTTTTAACCGTGTTCTAGGCAAAACATGACATTATATACATAATGTATTCAAATTTATATATAATATAGCTATATTATGTCAGAAAGCTTAGTAGACTGATTATGTGTGATACACTGATCAGGCATAACATTCTGACCACCTCCTTGTTTCTACGCTCATTGTCCATTTTATCAGCTCCACTGACCGTATAGTTTCACTCTGTAGTTCTACAGTTACAGACTGTAGTCCATCTGTTTCTCTGATACTTTGTTAGCCCCCTTTTACCCTGTTCTTCAGTGGTCAGGACCCCCATGGACCCTCACAGAGCAGGTACTATTTGGGTGGTGGATCATTCTCAGCACTGCAGTAACACTGACGTGGTGGTGGTGTGTTAGTGTGTGTTGCGCTGGTCTGAGTGGATCAGACACAGCAGTGCTGCTGGAGTTTTTAAACACCTCAGTGTCACTGCTGGACTGAGAATAGTCCACCAACCATAAACATCCAGCCAACAGTGTCCTGTGGGCAGCGTCCTGTGGGCAGCGTCCTGTAACCACTGATGAAGGACTAGAGGATGACCAACACAAACTGTGCAGCAGCAGATGAGCTATCGTCTCTGACTTTACATCTACAAGGTGGACCGACAAGGTAGGAGTGTCTAATAGAGTGGACAGTGAGTGGACACAGTGTTTAAAAACTCCAGCAGCACTGCTGTGTCTGATCCACTCAGACCAGCATAACACACACTAACACACCACCACCACGTCAGTGTTACTGCAGTGCTGAGAATGATCCACCACCCAAATAGTACCTGCTCTGTGGGGGTCCATGGGGGTCCTGACCACTGAAGAACAGGGTAAAAGGGGGCTAACAAAGTATCAGAGAAACAGATGGACTACAGTCTGTAACTGTAGAACTACAGAGTGAAACTATACGGTCAGTGGAGCTGATAAAATGGACAATGAGCGTAGAAACAAGGAGGTGGTCAGAATGTTATGCCTGACCGGTGTATAACTGAATTGAATAAAGCTGAAATTCTCCCGGTTTACATTATTGAGAATGTGGACTGTAGCTGAGAGTGAAACAGGAGTGTTTACTGTAGTCTGAGTGTGAAACGCAGACCTTTTTTTTTTTCATTAACAGTGTTTTCCTTCCCTTTAAAGCTGGTGTGGTTTTCCGTCTTTACGGCTTCTCTTTTTATTTTGCAGTCTGCAGTGCTTTCAAGCTTCCTTTCTTTTCATTTTGATGTCTAGACACATAATTTAATCTCATTCCTTAATTTAAAAGAAAAAAAACAGCTGCACAGAAGTTCTCAGTCCGTCCAGGTTTACTCCTGTACACAGACCTGAATAGAGAGCCTTCGCTCTCTTATCAACACATCAGAAAATACGTTCCTCTCTCGATTACACTTCCTTTTCGTCTGTCTGTCTTTATTCAGAGGCTCAGAGCTCCTGGTTTCAGTCTGTAGATGATAAATGTAATGGTCAGTGAGGCTGCAGTGATACTCAGATTCTCAGGTTTGATGCAATATCTGATTCTGAGGTTAACCTTCAGTTTGATTTCCAGAATCAGGATAATTTTCCTTCTGATAGTTCAGTTTCTGGTGCTGGTTTATGCTGGTCTGGTGCTGATTAAGTTGGTCTGGTGCTGGTTTATGCTGGTCTGGTGCTGATTAATTTGGTCTGGTGCTGGTTTATGCTGGTTCAGTGCTGATTAAGTTGGTCTGGTGCTGGTTTATGCTGGTCTGGTGCTGATTAAGTTGGTCTGGTGCTGGTTTATGCAGATTCAGTGCTGGTTTATACTGGTCTGGTGTTGGTTTATGCTGGTCTGGTGCTGATTAAGTTGGTCTGGTGCTGGTTTATGCTGGTCTGGTGCTGGTTAAGTTGGTCTGGTGCTGGTTTATGCAGATTCAGTGCTGGTTTATACTGGTCTGGTGTTGGTTTATGCTGGTCTGGTGCTGGTTTATACTGGTCTGATTCTGGTTTATACAGGTCTGGTGCTGGTTTATGCTGTTCTGGTGCTGGTTTATACTGGTCTGGTGCTGGTTTATGCTTGTTTGATGCTGGTTTATGCTGGTCTGATGCTGGTTTATGCTGGTTCAGTGTTGGTATATACTGTTTTATACTGGTTCTGTGCTGATTAATTTGGTCTGGTGCTGGTTTTTGCTGGTTCAGTGCTGGTTAAGTTGGTCTAGCTAATAAAAAATAAAATAATAAAAAAGTGCACTGAAGTAGCACATTGTTCAAAGTTGAGGCCTCTTCTGCTGATTGACGGACGTCAGTCTGTTCCAGTTTCCACACACTTCCATTGCAGGAGAATTTCGTTCTCGGTGTCTGACAGCTGTATTTGTACTTTTTTTTAGGTACGTTCAGCCTGTGGTGTCACCCCAAATTTGAGGACCGCTGCCACTCGGTGGTGGAGTTTATTGAGAGGGCCATCATGCACTCCAAAAACGGCCGCTTCCTCTACTTCCTGCGCTCTCGCGTTCCAGGTGAGTTCAGAGAGTCATCGCAGTCGAGAGCAGCGACCCTGCACTCCAGTGAAAGGAAATACCCGGTACCCAGGGGTAAAATCTTACTCCAGTAAAAGTAGTAGTCGTAGTACAGGTAAGTACGGTTAGTACACGGTTAGAAATGATTTAGCTCCATGCTAATTCATGAGTATAAGCTTCCATTACTTATTAGCTACATTAGCCTCGGAGCTCCAGTGCAGGAACTAAAGAAGCAAACTTCAGACACCAAACATGTTTCTGATGGAGTTTATAGGCTGATCGACTACGTTTGGGGTAAGGAGGACCTTCTGCTCTTCTATAAATGTGGTCTCTCTCTCTCTCTCTCTCTCTCTCTCTCTCTCTCTCTCCCTCTCTCTGTCTCTCTATAGGTCTCCCGCCCACTCCTGTGCAGCTCCTGTATCCAGTGTCCCGGTTCAGCAGTGTTAAATCCCTGCAGCATCTCTGCCGCTTCTGCATCCGCCAGTTGGTCCGCATCGACCACATCCAGGAGCTCCCGCTGCCCACGTATGCATCATTCACCCAGACAGCAAAAAACACAAAACACCAGTGCAATTTAAAATCTTTCTTACTGTCCCACCTCACGCTTCACAAAACTGGGGAGCATTGGTTGTTTTAGGCAAAAAAAAAAAAAAAAATCAATAGATAATCTATAAATCAGTAGAGAGCACTTTTCATTTTATATGGTTTAACCTGTTAATATGGTTATTATTATTATTATTATTATTATTATTATTTTGTAACAATATAAATATTATTTCTATTATTTTCTCCTTTGGTCTTGTCTACTTAATAAGATTAAATGTGTAATTAATTTATGCAAAGATTTGAACAAATTCCATGATGTTGTTGATTTTCTAAGTGAATATAATTTAACACATTCTCTAGAGCTCATGTGTCAAACACAAGGCCCGCGGGGCAGATCAGGCCCACGACACAATCCCATCTGGCCCTCAAAAGTATTTAAATTCTCAGCTAATATTAGCTCGATTCACACTGCGCAGCACTACAATCCCCAGCATGCACTGCAACGTAATATGTGCTCTGACTCTCCCACTCCAACAACAGTCTATGGGACAGCGGTTACACCTCAGTTCTACACAGTTCCACGCAATTCCACACCAGTCGTATCACCAAACACACCAGCTGTATTTCAGCTGCAGTTCAACCAACATAAACACCAAATGTCAGCTCAGCAGCTCAGAAACTGAGCCCAAGTCTTAATGAACTTGCAGTAAAGAAAAGCTGTCAGGGGTCTAGTTGAAGCAGATAGGTAGGTTTAAAAGACCGATTTCCTGGGGACATTTTGAATATTTCAAGTATTCATGTCATATTTCAAGCTCTACTGCAAGTGTCTGCATTTTACTGTTGAAGTTTTTGCATAGTTTGAATAATCAATAGCCAGATCAGGTTGTAGCACAACGTTAATTAAAAATGAAATAAAAACATTTTTTTGTCTGGCCCACAGATTTGTTGAGATTTTTTAATATGGCCCCTTTAGTGGTTGAGTTTGACAACCCTGCTCTACAGAGAACACACTTAAATAAGGCATCTTCACCAAATTTAAGAGCACATCTTCTATTTTCTTTATTCAGTTTATTTATTTGAGTTTATACATAAAATAGAAATTATAAAATGTGCCGTTGCTCTTTTATCTATATTTTATTGTTCTTCCCAATATGTTAAACTCAAATAAACAATAAATTGTTCATTAAAATGTGTAGAAGTGTGTGTGGAGGGTGTGAACTTATTTTCACGTTAAAAAAAACAATGAAACATCATTTGACTGGAGGTGCCAAAACTTTTGCACACCGCTGTATGATTTATTTGAGCTGCTGCCAAGACCAACTCTTCGTAAGTGATATCTTACCTGACCAGTAAAACCAACTCTAATTCCAATTCTGATTTCTTGAATACACACGTTTATTTAAGCCCTGCAGATCCTTTATAACGCGCTAAGTGATAATTTGGTTTACTGACCAGTTCAGCCCGTCTGGCACTCGTTAGGTTTCAGCAGACTTAGTGTGAATCAAAGCCTTTACTTCATTATTAATAGGTTCAGAAATGGTAATATTTGTGTAAACGTGTCTTTTCCCTCTCTTTCAGACCTTTGATAATGTATCTGCGGAAATTTTACTTCTACGATCCCGAGGAGGAGAAATACCTGTCAGTCAAAGAGTCGGGGCGGGACGGCGGAGCCACACGGGAAGTGGAAGCTCAGACGTAGCAGACGGGACAGAACTGGATAAATCATAAATAAAGAGAGTAAGTCGCTCATACAGCACTCCCTCTACTGCAGGGGTTCTCAGCCTTTTCTACCCAAAGGCCCACCTGCAAGGCCTAGCAGCCCACAGGAAAACTCATATAATCAACTTTTTAAATGCATCTTTAGTTTTCCTTAGTTAAAACTGAAAACCTGAAAATTAGGTCCTGAAAAAGATCAGATTGGCCATTCTGGTTGTCAGTAGGTTTGCAAAATCTGCAGGTATGTTAAAAAACATAAAAAATGTTATGAGGTTAAAATATTGTGATGTTAAAAAGGGGAAAAAAAGAAGGGAAATGTACGAGGTAGATTGATTTGGGGCTGCAGTCCATCACGTTTTTACTGAAGTTACTCCACTGGCTTTTTCAAAAGAGTAATTATTTGGGGGTTTTTAAAGATTTATTTGAAATAAACCTCACAGGGTTCCGGTTGTAATGGCGGCTTAGGCAGACGTGCTGGGTCCAGCTCCCCAGGGCATAGTTAAATTAACAGCGAACAGGTGACCTTCTATACTTTCATTTTTAGTAAAACACCAGTTTTAAGGTTGTGGACTGAAATAAACCTCACTGCACTTCCTGGGCTTTTGGATTAGCGTCATCACAATCAACAATACTGATAAATCTTACCTGATCTCTGCTGGTTTATCAGATTGAGTTTAACCACTCAGGTCGCTGATGCTCGGCCAGATATACGCTCCACGATCCATGAGTTGAAATCAAACACATATCTTTGCTATTATTTTATGGCTTTTAACCTCAGCTTGTGCTCAGTGTCTAAAGAGCCAGTCGTTAAAACAGTCGTTATGCTGACTGTACGGTGCTGTTGTGCCTCTAGAAGAGAAGGAAAGCCAGCTCCACTGTTTCCATCAGCAGTGAACTGAACAGGGTTCGATCCGAGACCCAGGGTTTCTGCCGGACCGGTTCGGCTGTTGGTTGCAGACCCAAATACTGTTGGAATGTTCACACATCAAAACGGAGCGAACTAAAGAACAAGGTGTGATAAGTCCTCATCAAACAAAGCGCCCTGAGAAACTTCTCCACCTCTGGTTCGCTGTCTGCATCGCGCGCCCGCGGCTGCTCTGTCTCACTCTGATAACGTTTAATCAGCCACTACTGCAACGTTTTTATTTGTATGTCTCTATTAATATTTATTTTGGTTATACTGTGAAAACGTTTAATTCTTAGATTTGTTTTTGTTTTTTTTTTTTTACCTGATTTTCTCCTTAATTTAGTCGTCTCCAATTCCACCTGCTAGTTAGGACTCCCCCATGCTATCAACGCTAGGAGGGTGAAGGCTAACACAGGCTTCCTCCGAGACCTGTGAAGCCAACCACCGCTTCTTTTCGAACTGCCGCTCACGCAGCGTCACTGGACAGCCGAACGCGCTCGGAGGAAAGCGCCAACCGCCAGATCTGCTACGTCAGCTAACAGACGCCTGCGCTGACTAGCATCGCGCTGAGTGATGGGGGGAGAAGGAGGGGCCATCCTACCCACCCAGAGAGAGCGAGGCCAATTGTGCTCTCTCGGACTCCCGGCTACGGACGGCTGCAGCATCACCAGGGATCAAACTCATGATCTCCTGATGAGAGGGCCAACACTTAGACGGTTGCGCCACTCGGGAGCCCCCAATTCTTAGATTTTTAATTACTAAAGTTAATCATTTTTCCACTTATGTTTCTATGACTTACAGTGACGTTACTGGCCCGAATCACTGCCTCATACTAAATTCCAAACCTAAGTGAGTCAGTGCAACGCATTTGGGCCAAATGTGATCCTTAGTTTTTTTCGTAGTGTAAAGATGTAAACGCAACCCCGCCGCAAAATATTTTAAAAAAATATCATTTTGCAATTACGTTTTCTAATTAAACAATAGAAAAAACATAAAATGATATCAAACCGTTTCCAGCTCACAGTGTGTGCTGTCCAAAATGTCATTAAAGGTGCAGATTTTTAGTTTAAACATTCAAAAGAACTACAATTATCAACAGAATGTGAAAAATAACAGGGCTGTCAAAGACGTCTGTGTACTGTGGTGGAGAAATATCTACTGAAGTTAGCATGCTAACCAGCTAGCCCCGCCCTGTCCTGTCTCGTAGGAGGTGATAGTGAGTCAGATGAAGAGTTCTACTGGAGAACCTTTATTTACCTTGAACTTGATAATATGAGTATCGTTACACCTGTAATCAACACTTATGAACACAAGACTACACTGTAAAAATGGTTCATCAGTTCAAGCAGAAAAATGACTTTGATTGAAAGAATCGTTCATTCAGAGTATTGATTTAGGTTGAATAAAACAAATTAATTCACTTTGTTACCACATGAAATATTTTTCTAGGTTGAACTGATGTGTAATCAATATCTGGATGAAAATGCTTTATAAACACTAACGTGTTTCTCTCTGAAGTGACGTCCGTTTGTCTCTGCAGGTGTTTATTTTTGTTTGTGGACGGCTGCTGCTCGCACCTGGAAACTGGATGCTGGATTTAGGTTTAACAGACGGACACTCAGACTACTGATGGACTGTAATCTCTTCTGTTTGAGCTGTTTTGACCGCCGGCCTGGTTTCCGACGATGATCCTCCCTCCTCTCTCGGCCGGAGGGACGGGGATGTGGAAACCGGCCGAATTCGGGCCAGTGCTGTGGCAATATTAATGAAGCAGCCTGACACCTGAGACTGAGAAGGCAACCTGAGGGCCGGGAGCGTGGCCAGAGACTTACACTCTGGATGCGCTTGTCTTTCTGGACACCTCTCTGTCCTCTGCCTGAGTAAACTCCACTCCGCTCGGTGAGAACCGTCCAGAACGGAGAGAGTAAGACTGGGCTTGAAGGAATACTTCAGAATTTTTTTTAACCTGATCTCCACCTGCTGCATTTGGGTTGTACCACTGATAATATCCTCACACTGTAAACCTGTTTTAAGGCGAAGTGATGCTTTTTTAGTTTTCTTACTGATGTTTATTTGTTTAACCTGCTTAGGTTTGTTTGTCCGCCCAACGTTAGTCTGCAATAACAGTGAAATTTTTCACAAAAAGAAAAAACAGCCTGCACTCTTAAAAAAGATGGTTCTTCAAGGGTTCTTTAGTAAAGACATTGGTTCCATATTGAACTATAAACACTAAAAGAACCTTTGCATACTTGAATGGTTCTCTGCATGGTGAAGTGGTTCTTTAGATGGCTGGAGAATGTGTTGTGTGTGGTTCTATGTAGCGCAAATAGGGTTTTGCTATTGTCAAGATGTCAAGCCTTTGGTGCTACATATAACCCTTTTCAAAAAAGGTTCTATATAGAACCATACAGAACCCATTCTCCATCAATCTCAAGAAACATTTGAAGTAAGAGTGGGCTTAGAGGAACACTCTAATCTCTATCGATCAGTTGGCATTTCACCATGCAAAGAACCATTCAAGCATGCAAATGAAACTTTAAGCGTTCATGGTTCTCTATAGAAACACTGGGGCTCATTGATCAATATCTTCCTAAGTTTGTTCTCGAATGTGTCTTCTGAAAGGTCCTAAGGAAAAGTCTACGTCAGATTCATGACGTGTTCTTAAAGCGCAGAACTGGTCTCACCTTTGTGCTCTCGAGTGTCTGTAGATTCTGTTCTTACGTTCTTGTTCTTAAGAACAAATGCCAAATAAGAAACATTGGTGAATGAATCTTCGAATCAGAATCTTTGTAAAAACTGCGTAAGTGGGTTTTAAGAAGGAATTTCTTCTTAAGAGCGATTGGTGAATGAGGCCCAGTGTCCCTTGAATAATGTCTATCACAGCATTTGGCATTTATCCAGAATGGCTTCCAGTCTAGTCGTGTTAGAGAGGTAAGCTAATGTAGCATTAGGAGTCTGACTCAGGGATGTGTACTAGTACAGCATGATGTGCTGCCTGAGGTGGGAATCGAACCCCAGCCTATCGGTAGAGGAGAGAGGTGTTACCTGCTGTCCTATACAAACTGCAAGCAAAAGACCAGATGGGGATGTTTTTATTGTCACACCTGGTCTTAGAGGTGGACAATATGATGATATTTTATCATCATCATGATAAATTATATCACAATACTTTTCTGAGCATGTTGTGAATATCGCCAACTACATTTTATTGCAAAGTGAGCATAATTAGGTCTGTTTGATTGGATGTAACGCAGTGCAGTTTGTAAAACACTGAATAAAAATCACTGTAGTTGTAGGTTTATTATTATTATTATTATAGTATTTTTCAAATGTGGCATTACAGGTTCTATTTTGTCTGTTCCAACTTACTCAATCTCAGAAAAACTAAATATCGTGATCCATATTGTGTATTGTGAGAAGTATCATGTAATATGTTGGCCATATCGCCCACCCCTACCTCATCTCAGCAAGTATTTAATCAATAAATTTTTGTTTTTTAGCTAACAGTTGGAACGGTGCAGTGGGTAAAGCCGCTGCCCTCCACCCAACAAGCTGAGGTTCGATTCTCTGCTTGGGACGTAACCAAGAGCCTCTGGATAAGACGGCTAATGCTGCGATAGCTGCCTCAGTAACATGATTAGAGTAGAAGTTGTTCTGGGTGTTGGTGATGTTATGTAGGCTGTTTCCCTGTTAAAAACTCTTATGTATTATTTTTAGCCTATTGTTAGATGAACAAACAAGTCTAAATTAGTTAAATAAGTTAACCGTAGGAGGGGTGACTACAGAGCTGTTGGGAAAAGTAAAAAACTCTAGTGCATCATGTTTCCTTGAAATTTTGAGTTTCTATTTTTACAGTTTCTGAGTCAGTGGGTTTTCTGTACGTTTCCACGTGCAGGGAAGCTGATTGTTTGTGGTAATTGACAGTACGTAACAGGTGCACCAGATAGAGATGAACTGCAGTATTGCTTTAGAATAATGCTTGAAAACGTAGGGGGTCCGCCAGGCCAAGATTATCCTCAAACGTCTGCAGAGATACGAGGTTCTTCTCATACTTGTGTCGGTAAAAGGGTAACGTGTGCGTGTGTGTGTGGGCGGGTGTGTACATAGTGTATGTATGGCTTGTTTGAATCTGCTTGAAGATGTCATTATTCTGCAGAGATTATTTATCTGCTAAAAATCCACTCTGATAAAGGACTGATCAGACTAAAGCCACAGGACTATTTTCAATCAACGCATCTCAAAAACAGTGTGAAAATAAAAATGGGTTGACGGCTTCAAATAATGTGAGTTCTGTTTTTCTTTTTGTTGTTGTATTGTTTTAAGTACATTGTATTTCTGTATTCCCCCATTAATCACCCATAGAATCCCCCACAGATCCCAGCTGATCACCCATGAACCAGCCTTAGATCGCACGTAGATCATGCAAAGGACACCCATAGAACCCCTACTGATCAAGTATAGACCACCATCTTTACAGATTCTCCATAGATCGCCGATAGATCCCCATAGTTCTTCCCATGTTATCTAGTGACCCATACCTCCCACCTTGATCACCCATAGATCACACAGAGATGCACCATAGCTCACCCATAGATCCCATAGATCACTTACAGACCACTTATGGCTCTCCACAGCTTCAACATTGTCTCACTATAAATCACTGACATGTCCATCCATAGATTACCCATATATGTCCTGTATATCACCCGTAATATCACCCACAACCCCCCACAGATGCCTTGTAAACCAACCGCAGTTTGCCTGTAGATCATTTCCCCTAGATCTCCAGTGGATCACTCATAGATCTTCACCAGACCATCCAGTCACCCTACCCCCCCAAGGCTACCCAGAGATCACCCAAAGATTATCCATAATTTACCCACAGATCTGCTTAGATCACTTATAGACCACTCATAGTTCACTTGCATCTTCACCATAGATCACTCACAGATCACAGAGATCCCCTCATAGATTACTAATAGATGCTCTGTATATCACCCACTTTGCCCACAACCCTAGCCACAGATACCTGATCAACCACAGATCGGCTCTAAATCATCCCCCATAGATCATATATACTTCCCTCATAGTTCCCCTGTTAATTCTCCCCATGGATTGCTTGTAGATCACACATAGATTTCTAAGTAGATCATCCATAGATCACTCATATATTTCTAAGTAGATCATCCATAGATCACTCATAGATTGCTGGTAGATCATTCACAGATCACTCATAGTTTCCCATAGATCACACATAAGTTGCTGGCAGATCACTTTTAGGTCCCCCTCATAGATTATTCATAAATCGCTTATAGATTCCTCACATAGATCAGCCATAGATCACTCATAGATTCCCCATATAGATAACTCATAAATTGTGCATAGATCCCTCACAAAGATCATTCATAGATTCCCCACATGGATCATTCACAGATCACTTATTGATTCCCCATATAGATCATTCATAGATCACTCATAGATTCCCCACAAAGATTCACCACAAAGATCCTGCAAATATCCTGGATCCATAGTGGTTATGCATTTGTACACAAGGCTCTTGTTCACTTTGACGTTTTTGTACATGCTTTGATTTCCTTTGTAGCCCTAAAAAGAGTGAGTCCAGCTCTACACCGAGCCACACAGAGCAGTCCTGACCACGAAGTCACTGCTAGCTGCCATTGCCACACTTTAGATGGACAACCAATCTCAGGAGGTATTCAGGTGCTGCCAGTGCTTCATCATGCCTTGCTAAGCAATGTCACTATTTATATATTTATACAACTGTGTCTTCATGTAGATGTTTAACCTCCCAGGAGTGGAGGAAGACGATCGAGGATGCAATATTGGTGGGAGAAACATCAGTAACCTTCAGTATAGAGTTGATATGACACTGAATGGAAAATAAGAGTCACATCTTATTGAGGAAAGTTAAAGAACAGAGTTAGTAGTTAGAGCTCAATCTTCAAGCTTCAGCTCAATACAAAGAAAACAGGTCATGACAACAGGAACAGCTCTAACTTTACCTCGGATTGATAGTGATGATGAGTGGTGGAGAGCTTCGGCTTGCTTGGATCAATTATTAACAACAAAGGATCCATCAAGAAAAACAGCACTTGGCAGAACAAGGATGAAGGATCGTGAAAAGGTCTTCATGTCTGTCTACAAACAAACATCTGATTTATCCAGGCTGTGGTCTTTTCTGTGCTCCTTCACGGATGTAAAAGTTGGAACAATAAAAATCAGAACGGAAAATATTGATGTCTTTGATGTTAGTGAAGACTTTTGAAATGAGCTTGGAAGCTAACAAATGGCTCCTCAACCAAAGCCTGTCCTCTCACTCGAAGCCCAGATAACCAAACTGAAGCTCTAATTTTGGGTATATAATGAGAAGAACCAATTCACTGGAAAAGATTATTTTGCTTGGAGGAGTTGAAGGTAAAAGAGGGGAGAGGACGACCAGCAACAAGATGGATGGAGACAATCAGAGGAATCATGAACCAGCCATTCAGAAACCTGGAGACCCCAGTAGATGACAGGACATTCTGGAGAAACCCTATTCATAAGGTCACCAGGAATCGGAACCAACTTGACAACCTTAATAATAATAATAATAATAATAATAGTAATAATAATAGTGTAGCGTCAGTGTAGAGTAAGACACAGACGAGGCCATGATTTCTACCACAAGAAGTGCTCTTTTTTAAACACCAGGGAGAAAGACACATACACAGCACTAGCTAGCTATACACTTGACCCTCTCAGAGACCACCAACCCACACTTACTAAACCCACTTCCCAACAGAGAACAACACAGTAAACCAATAAACATACCTTTAGACCAACAAGCAATGACATTAACAACATTTTAGTCCCTTTTTAGGAGGGTGTACCTCTGATGGCCACACCTCACAAGATTCTAGAGGCCAGTGCTAGCCAGTAGCAGATCACTATATCCCCCTTTTAAGGTCAAACATCCCCAGTGAACCACACAGTCCCGGCCAGTACCCTACCTCTGACACCAGCGTAGCATTGGCATAGAGTAAGACACTGGAGGCTTCCAACACAAGCAGTGTGATACAATAACAACAAGTGTCTGGCGTTAGAACTCAGTTCGAGGAGGAAGGAGTGAAGACGGTTGGACTGTTGTTGGATTGTTGCAGACTTTTTAAACTTGGTGGATGCAGTTCTGCTCAATGGAGAACCATCTGAATGACTATATTTGGGGTTTTGGATCTTACAAATATCAGTCTGGATGGCTGTAATAGACATGAGGTTTTGTTTATTTTGCTTCCTGATAATAAGTGATGATAAAATAAATTGGTGCAACACAAGACCCTGTTCACAAGGGCAACACATTTCCTGATTTGAGTGTGATAGAAGGCTGTTCTTGCTGGCTCCTTTTGTAAGAAACGTTATTTTTACCGAAGCTATGTGACGTGGAGTACAACCACAGCTACCCGTGCAGAGAAAAGCTAAAGCAGACAGTTTACAGATCAAGCCAACCACATTCAGTAATCAAGCGCAGACAGAGAACAGCTATGATAACACTAGTGGTGTTGCCGATCGTTTGCATTAGATGCTAGAAAAGGAACAGTGGAGAAAATTAGAAGAAGTACAGCACTGTGCAAAAGTCAGAGACCATTTATTCATTTAATGTCCAGTCAAAACAGCCATTGAGTACAAGTTATTCATTCTTCAGGAGACACTACTGAGGATATCAGACATAATGAGAAAAAGAAGATAATCCACTTGCATAAGGAAGGAGAAAGTTAAAGGAAAATTAGCAAACAAAAAACCCAAGAGTTTCCAAAACTGAAGTTCAAAAACTGATTACAAGCGCCGGAGAAAATGTGGCTCCTAACAACCACCTGGAAGACCTGGTCGACCCCAAAACTGCCCCCATCAGATAAACAGCACTTTAAGCTTTCATCTCTGAGAGAGAGGAGAAAATCAAGCTGCTTCAGATCTGAAAACATCCACAGGTGTTTCTGTCCATCCTTCCACTGTGAGAAGACGACTCTGCACTATGGGTCTGAAAGGATGTGTAGCTGTTCAAGAAGAACCTCACTGAGAAAAGGACATCTGCTTTAGAACCCCAACACTGGACAGGACTGGACTGAGCAGTGGAGGGAGGTTTTCTGGACTGCTGAGATGTCCGGCAGTAACAGAAGGCAGTGTGTTCACCGCTGAAGCACTGAAAGACTCTGAACCATCAGTGGAGCGAGACGGAGGATCAGAGCAGGTTTGGAGATGCAGGACAACATCTGTAGCTGGTGGTGAGTCTCTGATTGAAGGCGTTACGAACGCCGATGAGTACAAACGCATATTAATACGTCATGCAGCTCCTGAAAACGTCTGACTGAAGAACCTCATTCTACAGAGAGATAACGACCCCGAGCTCACTGCTGAGATCAGGACGAAGAAGCTGAACAATGGACTGACCACCCCAGAGTCCAGACCTCATCACCACTGAATGAGTTTGATTACTCCAGAAATTGATCAACCAGCTTCTAAGACTGAACTTTGGAGGTGTGTCTGCAGATTCTTTGAGGAACTGAAACCTCGTTTACACTTGGTCACTTCATATGCCTCATATCTGGATTGTATCCAAGATTTTAGCCACATGCATTTACACTTGGTAGTCTCCAGTTTGTCAGACTGAAATCCACTTCCTGTGTAGGAGGTGTTTCAGTTGCACTGGGAGGGGTTTTGGTTGTACTGGGACGGGTTTTGCTTGTACTAGGAGGAGTTTCAGTTGTACTGGGAGGAGTTTTGTTTGTACTGGGAGGAGTTTGAGATGTACTGGGAGGGGTTTTGCTTGTACTAGGAGGAGTTTCAGTTGTATTGGGAGTAGTCTTGGTCGTACTGGGAGGAGTTTCCGTTGAACTGGGAGTTTCGGTTGTACTGGAGGAGTTTCCGTTGTACCAGGAGGAGTTTCGGTTGTATTGGGAGAGGTTTTGGTTGTCAAGCTTGTAACAATAGAGGAACCTTTTTTGATGCTATATAGATTCCCTTTCAAAAAGGTTCTATATAGAACCGTGTACAACATGTTCTCCATCAATCGGAAGAGCTGTCTTTCTTCAAGACCACAGGACCACCACTGAGCACTAATAGGGTGGTGCTGGTGATCAGATATGGCAATGTTGCTGGAGGTTAATGAGATTAGAGCAGTTATAAAGTGTTGAATAGCAGCAGATTTGATTAAAACATTTCTCTTCAGGTAGGAACTCTTCAGATACCTGTCGAGGAATGAGGTCACACAGAGGTGCTTATTAATACTGTATAATCATAAATAGTGGATTATTATAAACACTTCACTTTTGTAAATGCTCCACTTCTTTCCTCCATCCTGCTGTGTAATCTTTTAAAATTACACACATTTTTTCTCCCTCCCACGTCCTCTCTCTATCTGTCTATCGCTCTCTCTCTCCCTCTCTCTCGCCCTCTCTCATCCTCCTCTGTCCCCCTCTCTCCCTCCTCTCTCTCTCTTCTCTCAAATCAAATCAAATCAAATCAAATATGCTTTATTGGCATGACAGGATATAAGACCTATGTTGCCAAAGCTGTAAATACATGTTAAATTGAATTATAATTAAAATATAAATGAATATGAAAAAAAAAAGAAAATAAATAGAAAAATAAATAAATATGGTAATACATATAAGCATAGAATGAATATGGACATGCCAAATGTAATAAAATAAAATAAAATAAAATAAAATTATACCATTACTACTATTAATAATAACAATATTAATTATTATTATTATAAACAAATAAATAAAACAAACAAGGTACATATGAAAAATGTAATATATTTTGAACATCAGGAATTAGAAATATTAATTACATAACTGAAGATGTGCTATGTTACATTTTCTTCTCTGATCTTGTGGCAGTTCTGAATAAACTGTCCTACTAAACTTATTGTTTCTACATTTTCTCCCAGTAAAAGCTTCATTTTCCCCGAGTTGGTCAGTTTGGGGACGGAGGGGGTTTTATTAGTAAATTGTGATATTAGAATTCTCTCTACCTCTCTTTCTCCCTTCCTCTCTCTCCCTCCCTCCACTTCATCTCTCTCTCCCTCCTCTCCATCTCTCTCTCCCTCCCTCCTCTCTCTCTCCCCTTCTCTCTCTCTCTCTCTCTCTCTCTCTCCTCTCCCTCCTCTCTCTTCCACCTCTCTCTCTCCCCCTTCTCTCTCTCTCTATCTCTCTCTCTCTCCTCCTCTCCCTCCTCTCTCTCCCTCCCTCCTCTCTCTCTCCCTCCCTCCTCTCCTCCTCTCTCTCCCTCCCTCCTCTCTCTCTCCCTCCCTCCTCTCCATCTCTCTCTCTCCCTCCCTCCTCTCTCTTCCACCTCTCTCTCTCCCCCCTTCTCTCTCTCTATCTCTCTCTCCCCTCTCCATCTCTCTCTCTCTCCCTCCCTCCTTTCTCCCCCCTTCTCTCTCTCCCTCCCTCCTCTATCTTCCACCTCTCCCTCCTCTCTCTTCTTCCTCTCTCCCTCCTCTCTCTTCTTCCTCTCTCTCTCTCTCTCTCTCTCTCTCTCTCTCTCCCTCTCCTCTTCTCCCTCCTCTCTCTCCCCCCCTCTCTCTCTCTCCCTCTCTCTCTCTCTGTCCTTGTCTGATGGGTTAGCTCTGATGCTCTGATGCTGTGATGCTAATCTGACGCTGCACTCTTCCTGTTTCAGTGCTGGTGATGAGCTGAGCTGTTCAGTGGAAGCCGCCGGTAAGAGAGACGCTGTTTATTAGTAATTATTTATATTTAGGGCTCGTGTTTGTTTATTAGAGGCTGATTGTGTCTGTCTGTTCAGTATGAGCTAGCTTTATTAGCAGGACTGGATCAGGCACAGGGCTGAGTCCCCTTCATCCTCCTCATTCTCTCTTCTTTACTCCTCTTTCCTTCCTCCTTCTCCTTCTCTCCTCCTTCTTTTCTCCTCATTCTCCCATTTTCTCTCCTTCTTCTCCTTCTCTCCTCCTGTTCACTGTGTATCTGAGCTCCTGTGTTGGTGCAGGTTTTAAACATACAGTGCAGATCATTATTTTGCTGTTACAGTAAAACGTATAAAGGTTACAGAGACAGGAAAACATCTCTCCTCTCCCTCTCTCTGTCTCTCTGTGTCTCTCTGTCTCTCTCTGTGTCTCTCCCTCTCTCTGTCTCTCTGTCTCTCTCTCTCTCTCTCTGCAGTACAGTGTCTGTAACTGTTCTATTAAAGGAAAGGTGTCTGTTTATCAGTCAGACTACATTAGCCAAAGCTAATGCTAACCTGCACCACCCCACACGTCTCTCTCTCTCTCTCTCCCTCTCTCTCTCTCTCTCTCTGTCTTTCGTTATTCATCTCTCTCCTCTCTCTATCTCTCTTTCATTCTCTATGTCTTTATATCTCCCTCTCCTCCCTGTCTCTATCCCTCTCTCCCACCCTCTCTTTCCCTCCTGTCTCTCCATCCTTCTTTTTCTCTGTCTCTTTCTTTTCTCTTCCTCTTCTCACTCCACCTTTTTTCCATCTCTTTCTGTCCCTCACTTTTCCTTCTTTCTTTTTCCTTCTGTTTCTTCTCTCTCATTCTTGCTCCATCTTTCCCTTATTCTCTCTTCTATCTCTGTTCCTCTCTCATCCCATTCTCTTTCTATCTCCTCTTGCCCCATCTCTCTCTCTCTCTCTCTCTCTCTTTCGTCTATCGAGCTTTGAATATGACAGTCGTGCTGTAATGTGTGATCAAAGCAATTGACCTTGAGGCAAAAAAACAGCAGTTTGTTAACAATATAAACCAGAAAAAACATGAAAAGACAGCACTCAACACTCCCTGGCCACTTTATTAGAAACACCTACCTTGTGCTTCCATTCACTGGCCACTTTATTGGAAACACCTTGTACTTCCACTCACTGGCCACTTTATTGGAAACACCCAACTTGTGCTTCCACTCAGTGGCCACTTTATTGGAAACACCTACCTTGTGCTTCCTCTCACTGGCCACTTTATTGGAAACACCTACCTTGTGCTTCCACTCACTGGCCACTTTATTAGAAACGCCTACCTTGTGCTTCCACTCACTGGCCACTTTATTAGAAACAAGCTGCAGTTATTCTAGTAATACTGTTATTTCCATCATTACCAAGTTTTGGATGGAAATAAACTTCAATTGGCCAAAATAAAATGATCCAATCAGGATTGTTCTCTCTGTGGTATCTAGGTACACATAGCCCAGTGAACTCTCTTATTGTTTAGGACTTCAGGAGCTGGACTGAGGGCTTTGCTTTTGCATATGACACTGTATCTTTATTCATTAGCTGTGACTGCAAATTATTCCTCTGAGAGAAAGCTTTGTGGTAGCGCTTCACTTTACAGATCAGTAGTAAGTGGGTAATATTATAGTAATACATTGTTTGTACTGACCAGTAAACTAATTTTTAAGTTGTAACTAAATAATAATAAATAAAAAGTTTGATATTGTAACCATATTGGTGTCACATGAACATTTTAAACTTTTGTATATCCTCTAAACTCCTCCACTCAGCCTGACACTGTTTAATTTGATTTTACTTAACTTCTAGTATGATTTTGTTATGTTTTCGTTATTTTTATTTTTTAAATTATATAATTTTTTATTCCAATTTGATCTTTATTTATTCCTATTTGATCTTTATTTATTTGATATTTATTAAGCTATTTTATTTTTGCAATTTTATTCTGATTTGATTTTGCAATATTAAATTTACCAGTATGATTAACTTTTTATTTTTATCTTAGCATTTGATATATTTTAAAATCTAATTGTTTCAATCCCTGATTTCTGTATCGGCTCAGCTACAATCTAAATGACAGTCACTCTCAATGTACTCTTTAAATAAAGGTTGATTGATGATTGATTGGTAACAGATAAGAAACAAAGTAGAAGGAAGTGAAAATGTCAGGAATCGATTTCAAACGCTGGACACAACTGACAGAGAACCAGAGAAGCTGTGGATGGAGCTCAAAGAGATCAAAGAAGGACCAGAGAAAGAACTGAGAAGAATGAAAAGGAGAAAGAAATCAAAGTAGATGAACGATGACAGTGGATATTGCAAAAAAAGAGAAGAGAAGCCAAAATCAAGAAGGGAAAAAATCTTTTAAGAGAACGAAACCAAGAATTTCAGAGAGCTGCCAGGAAAGACGAGGGCCAATACTACAACATCTGTCACATCTGTTGAAAAGGGGCTGGAGTGGGACTTGTATGATGCAGACCAGCCCACCTTAAACTGTAACTTCCTGCTACACACACATCATTGTTTTCATGCAACTGAACTTTATAAAGTCTGTGCATTTGCATCTTCTTTTCTTACGCTGATCTCTTATTTACTATTCATATGCTAAACTGAGATAAACAAGGGGGCTAGAAAGTGATTAAATGAAAACTGTCTTAGATGTGACATAATCACAACAGTGAATATGCTACAAATGATGCTGATGTTAGCTAAGTAATTTAACCCTCTCAGGTAGACGATGTCGTATGTGACATCAAAGGACATCATAGATAAAAGAAAATTATTTCATGATTGCTACACGCTGGAGAAATACCTGGAAAGGTAGCATTGTTCCTGAGTAAAGTCACGAACACAGCCTCTGATTGGTCGATGGGTCAGGAACACAGCCTCTGATTGGTCAACAAGTCAATAACACAGCCTCTGATTGGTCGGCAAATCAGGAACACAGCGTCTGATTAGTCGCCAACTCTGGAACACAGCCTCTGATTGGTCGACAACTCTGGAACACAGCCTCTGATTGGTCGACAAGTCAGGAACACAGCCTCTGATTGGTCATCAAGTCAGGAACACAGCTTCTGATTGGTCAACAAGTCAGGAACACAGCCTCTGATTGGTCCGCAAATCAGGAACACAACATCTGATTAGTCGACAACTCGGGAACACAGCCTCTGATTGGTTGACAAGTCAGGAACACAGTCCCTGATTAGTCGACAAGTCAGGAACACAGCCTCTGATTGGTTAACAAGTCAGGAACACAGCCTCTGATTGGTCGACGAGTCAGGAATACAGTCTCTGATTGGTCAACGAGTCAGGAATACAGTCTCTGATTGGTAGATGAATCAGGAACACAGCCTCTGATTGGTTGACAAATCAGGAAGACAGCCTCTAAATGGTCGACGAGTGAGCAGCACTGTCTCTGATTGGTCAACGAGTCAAGAACACAGCTTCTGATTGGTCAACAAGTGAAGAACACAGCCTCTGATTGGTCGACAAGTCAGGAGCACAGCCTCTGATTGGGAGATGAATCAGCAATACAGCCTCTGACTGGGAGATGAGTCAGAAACGTAGCTTCTGATTGGTCGACAAGTCAGGAACACAGCCTCTGATTGGTCGAGGAGTCAGGACCATATCCTCTGATTGGTCGAGGAGTCAGGAACATAGCCTCTGACTGGTCAATGAGTCAGGAACACAGCCTATGATTGGTTCACGGGTCAGGAATACAGCCTCCAATTGGTCAACAAGTCAGGAACACAGCTTCTGATTGGTTGACAAGTCAGGAACACAGCCTCTGATTGGTCAACAAGTCAGGAATACAGCCTCTGATTGCTCAGTGTGCCATGATCACAGCTTTTGATTGGCCAACGAGTCAGGAACACAGCCTCTGATTGGTTGACAAGTCAGGAACACAGCCTCTGATTGGTTGACAAGTCAGGAACACAGCCTCTGATTAGTCAACGAGTCAGGAACACAGCCTCTGATTGGTTGACAAGTCAGGAACACAGCCTCTGATTAGTCAACGAGTCAGGAAGACAGCCTCTGATTGGTCAACAAGTCAGGAATACAATGTGATTAATTGACAAGTCAGGAACACAGCCTCTGATTGGTCGATGAGTGAGGAAAACCGCCTCTGATTGGTTGACAAGTCAGGAACATAGCCTCTGATTGGCTGATGAGTCAGGAACACAGGCTCTGATTGGTCAACGGGTCAGGAACACAGTCTCTGATTGATCAACGAGTCAGAAACACAGCCTCTGATTGGTCAATGAGTCAGGAACACAGCCTCTGATTAGTCGACAAGTCAGGAACAGCCTCTGATTGGTCGATGAATCAGGAACACAGCCTCTGATTGATCAACAATGCGCAAGCAAGATTCAAGAAAGGCAGAGGAAGAAGAGATATTGTTGTGGATGTAAACTGGATCTCTAAAAAAAGCCAAGGACTTCAAGAAGGAAGTCACCATGTGTTTCATTGACTACAGCAAAGCCTTCAACTGTGTTGACCACATTAAATTATGGAACGTCCTCAGGAAAATGTGAGTACCAGAGCAATTCATTGTTCTAATGAATAAACTCTACATTGATCAACAAGCCACAGTCAGAACAGAAAATGGACAAACAGACTGGTTTGCCAAGGCTGCCCACTTTCACTATACCTGTTTAACCTGTGTGCAGAACACACTGAGAGAAGCAGGATTGGAGGAAGATGATGGAGGAACATCAATAACCTTTGATATGCGGATGATACAACACTCATAGCAGAAAACCTGGAAGACCTGAAGGCCCTTATAAGGAAGGTTAAAGAACAGATGGGACTTCAGCTCAACATGAAGAACACTAATACTGCGTTCACGTTTGCAGTAGATGGGTGGCGAAAAAACGTATATTCCATTGTTCTGAATGTAACTGCACCCAAAAATTCTGTCACCACAAGCAGCAATGGACCACAGACTGCAGCAGTGAGTGGTGAGCAGTGAGCAGCATGAGTTCAATTTTCTCAACTTTTGCAATCAACCTCAGTGATGGAGTAAACCGGATGTTGATTTGTTCTGGAGCAATGGATGCCAAACGTCTCGCTGTTAAATTCCAGACTAACACAGAGAGTACAGAGCATCCTCCTTCCTTTCTCCACCTTAAATAAACAATTTACAGTGCTAAAACTGTCTGACTAATCATCCATTATCACCAGTAACACTGTCACCATGCCAATTCTTGCTTGGCTTGTACTGCTATCGGCCGTGTACTGCTACGAGGTGCAACACTTTCCCATTGATGGAGAAGATGTGGAAATGGTGGACAGCCTTTGCCTAATTGGATCAGTTATTTACAACAGAGGATCCGGCACTCAAGAAATACGACAGATTGGCGCTCGGCAGAACAAGGAAGAGGGAGCTTGAGAAGATCTTCAAATGCAGCAATGTGTCTCTACAGACTAAGTTCAGAATTGTCCAGGCTGTGGTCTTCTGTGGTTCTTTTGGAATGTGAAAGCTGGACAATAACAAACAGGACTTTTGGTGTTGTCGGAGACTTTTGAGAGAGAGGTCAACTATGCTCTCTTGGACTCCCGGCCACAGACGGCTGTAGCTTCACTGGGGATCGAACTTGTAATCTCCTGATGACAGAGCATTGTGAGGCAAAATAGTCCCCAAAGAAAACTTATTATTTCAGATTTTCCCCTATTTTCCATCATCAACATTCCATATAAACTCAGAAGACTCGTGTAGGTTCACTGGTGGTTCTGGATAGTAAATAAAATGTCTATATTTGTGTTGTCATGGCGACAAATGGTTCAGATTTCTTTACAGTGGTGGTGATAGGAACCAGGGGGATCACTACTTTTATAGAAATCAATAGAGGAAGGCATGTTAAAACTTATGATTGAATAATAAAATATCAGTACTCTGCCTCTGTGGATCAATATTATTTTAAAACACAAAATTGTGCATTATCATTTGACCCCAACAATAACAATCACCCCTCTCGGCCGTATGGGATGCGTCTGGTCTGTTATTTCTGGTGCTTCTTTGTGCCGACTAGAGAACTGTGATGCAACGTGTGAATAAATGTCAGACACGTACTGAACGGATTTGTCTTCTCTAAAGGAAAGTGGTTCAGAGAGGTGTCAGGGGCTTCTGGGTAATGTCTAAGAGGAGCCGAGAATAACGTGGCAGCTTTCTTCGTTTGGATTCTGGCAGTATGCACTGATAACGGCGGAGGTATAAAGGGTGCCAGCAGATGTGCTGAGGCTTCAGGAAAACGGCTGATTCGTCTAAGAGCTCTGGAGCTCGTGCAGTCATATTACTGACCACAGAATCCCAGCGGAAATCTCTGCTTAATAAGGAGGGAGAGGAGGGAAAGTGCTTTAATGGCAGCATGGCAAATAGCTGGGTGTTACTGAGGGCAAGCTGAGGCACACATAACAACACAATTCACTTCTGTGAGTTGAGAGATTGTTTGCGTAATTTATCCTGTTAGTTTGCTCTTGTGTGGTTGAAGATCATTGCAGTTTTTGCGTTTCATGTCATCCTTTGCATCCTGTCTTCATTTATAAGCAAAAGAAACTAAACTGAGCCTAAAACAGAGCTTTGGGGTACACCAAAAGTAAAGGAATGAGCCATGATAAGGTGATGCCTTGCTTTGACTTAATACATTTGACAATACATTTTGGGAAGCTCTTCAGGCGTCTGGTTCCTAGTCACCACCACAGTGAACAGTAAACCACTCTTAACCAATTAATTGTGCAGAATATTTGGAAAATTTGGAAGAATTCCGTAATAACAGTTCAGATTTTGTGTTTAAAGTCCCAGGGAACACAGAGTAAAATATTAAAAATGTTTGTATGGTGGGCGGCACGGTGGCGCAGTGGGTAGCGCTGTCACCTCACAGCAAAAATGGCCTGGGTTCGATTCCCGGCCGGGTGACCAGGGTCATTTCTGTGTGGAGTTTGCATGTTCTCCCCCTGTCTGCATGGGTTTCCCACTTTCCCAGTCCAAAAACAGGCTGATTAGACATTCTGAATTGCCCCTAGGTGTGTGTGTGTGTGACTGTGTATGTCTGTCTGTCTGCCCTGCGATGGACTGGCGACCTGCCCAGGGTGTATCCTGCCTTCCGCCCAATGACAGCTGGGATAGGCTCCAGCACCCCACCGCAACCCAGAAGGATAAGCGGTTTAGATGATGTATGTATGTTTGTACGATACTAAACTAGAGTGTTATATTAAACATCCAAAGCTTGAATGAAAAATTTAAGATATAAATAAGATAAAACAGCTTAAAACCGCTGATCAGACCTATCTGTTTGATTGATCTCTGTCCAACACTCCTAGCCTGCTCCGCCCCTCATACAGCACTAAAATCATTATCCAGGCATGTCATGAACGAACGGACATGCAGATGTATGGACGGACAAACGAATGGAGGAAGCAACATGTGAATGAAGGAATGGACGAACAACGCTTGTGTACAGATAAATGAATAAACGGGCGACAAGCAGCTACAGGTGGTTAAGCTTGCTAGCTTTTAGTTATGCTGGGCTCACTAAGTTTCTCTTACTCTGAAACTGTTCTGTGTGGGCGGGGCCAGACATGCAGCCTTGTGATTGGTCAGGGGAATGCTTATGGAGGTGTTACCCAAGATTAGGACCACCCAGTTTACATCGAGAGGACAGAAATGTGGTGAAATATATCGGTTATTTGTTCATCAGGGGAACATTATTCAAAGGGTGAACTTATTACATGTTTACTGTTTACCTGCAAGGACAAGACAGATTTAGGTTCCCTGGATCTTTAAACATCAGTGGATGAACTGCAGTTCAGACATTGCTCTAGGTGTGTAGGTGTTTCTGAGATGGTCACAGGTGATGTATTTTTTATTCTCTCTCTCTCTCTGCAGTGGTCCCTGAGCTCCCCGTGCCTGTCATGCAGTTGGAAGAGACAGAAAATGTGTTCGGTGAGTCACTGCAGCATCAGACCAGCATGTTTTTCACAAATAACAACAGATATTTCACTGTTTTACATCGTCATACATCAGTGAGATATATCTGATAAATGTGGGCCTTTATTAATATAATATTAATGACACAGACATTTAAATTGCTCACGGCCCATATCATGGAACACTACGCTGCAAAAACAACCCTTTATGAATTCCTCATGGTTATGATGTCACCACTGTGAGCATAGTTACATATATCTGCCCATTCAGCTACAGCAGTTTAGCTCCACCATTCAGCTACAGCAGTTTAGCCCCACCATTCAGCTACAGCAGTTTAGCTCCATCCATTCAGCTACAGCAGTTTAGCTCCACCCATTCAGCTACAGCAGTTTAGTCCCACCATTCAGCTACAGCAGTTTAGCTCCACCGTTCAGCTACAGCAGTTTAGCTCCACCCATTCAGCTACAGCAGTTTAGCTCCACCATTCAGCTACAGCAGTTTAGCCCCACCATTCAGCTACAGCAGTTTAGCTCCATCCCTTCAGCTACAGCAGTTTAGTCCCACCATTCAGCTACAGCAGTTTAGCTCCACCGTTCAGCTACAGCAGTTTAGCCCCACCATTCAGCTACAGCAGTTTAGCTCCACCGTTCAGCTACAGCAGTTTAGCTCCACCATTTAGCTACAGCAGTTTAGCTCCACCATTCAGCTACAGCAGTTTAGCTCCATCCATTTAGCTACAGCAGTTTAGCTCCATCCCTTCAGCTACAGCAGTTTAGCTCCATCCATTTAGCTACAGCAGTTTAGCTCCATCCCTTCAGCTACAGCAGTTTAGCTCCATCCATTTAGCTACAGCAGTTTAGCCCCACCCATTCAGCTACAGCAGTTTAGCTCCATCCATTTAGCTACAGCAGTTTAGCTCCATCCATTCAGCTACAGCAGTTTAGCTCCATCCATTCAGCTACAGCAGTTTAGCTCCATCCATTTAGCTACAGCAGTTTAGCTCCATCCCTTCAGCCTACAGCAGTTTAGCTCCACCCCTTCAGCCTACAGCAGTTTAGCTCCACCCATTCAGCCTACAGCAGTTTAGCTCCACCCATTCAGCCTAGAGCAGTTTAGCACCACCATTCAGTCTACAGCAGTTTAGCTCCACCCATTCAGCCTACAGCAGTTTAGCTCCACCCATTCAGCCTACAGCAGTTTAGCTCCACCCATTCAGCCTACAGCAGTTTAGCTCCACCCATTCAGCCTAGAGCAGTTTAGCACCACCATTCAGCCTACAGCAGTTTAGCCCCACCCATTCAGCCTACAGTAGCTCCACCCATTCAGCCTACAGCAGTTTAGCTCCGCCCATTCAGCCTAGAGCAGTTTAGCCCCACCATTCAGCCTACAGTAGCTCCACCCATTCAGCCTACAGCAGTTTAGCCCCACCATTCAGCCTACAGCAGTTTAGCCCCACCATTCAGCCTACAGCAGTTTAGCTCCACCCATTCAGCCTACAGCAGTTTAGCTCCACCCCTTCCGCCTACAGCAGTATAGCTCCATTCATCCACTATTGTTATAATCTTTTGTAACACTATCCGAACGCTTTTTGGTGCTGTATAAAACCATATACAACACATTCTCCATCAATCTGAGGAACGATTTGCGAAGAACCGTTTAATCATGAAAATATTTCTTTGAATGTTCATGGTTCTGTACAGAACCATTGTCTTTACTAAAGAAGATGTGAAGAAAGAGTGTAAATGAAAGATGATTTATTAATAAATAATCAAACAGAATTTATGGGAAACCCCAGATTAACTGTGCTGTGTTTTGTCTTTGCTGTATGTGATCAGCAGACCTGAACGATGCGATCCCAGAGACTGAGCTGCTGGACAGCAGCGTCCAGAAGTGCCGTGTTCAGGTGCGGAGGAGCAGGAACCGGCCGTCCCGCTCACGGCTCAGAGACAGCATCAGCTCCACTGAGGGGGACGACAGCCTGGACAGGAGGGTCCGTCTCATTTGCGTACACTCGTTCATCACAACGCATTATAATCAGTTTAAGTTACAGTATTACACATGTGTACGGTGCACTATCAGCGCAGGCCTTCACTTCTCTACCTGACTAAAGCACTCAGGAATGTGTGTCTAGTATGAAAAGTGCTATATAAATAAAGAGACATAATATAATACAGAATGAGAAAATAGTAATAATAATAACAATACAGTGGTAGTTAGCAGTAATATTACAGAACTAATACTAAATAATAATAATAATAATAGTGACTAAAAGTTGCTGTACACTATTAGACTGATCAGCTTCTTGGTGTTCAGTTTTATCTGTTCATGTCTCTCTGTGTCCGTGTTTAGTCTTTAGACAGTCCCCTCCACTCGGTTCCTCAGCCGGGTCTCAATGTGTCCTCTCTCTCTCCGGAGCTCCTCCTGTCCTCCCCTTTCCGTCCATCCCCGTTCTCCTTCGACTCTCCTCTCCGCCGCTCTCCCGAAGAGCCGAACTCCAGCTCTCCGGCCCCTAAAGGCCGATACACGCAGCTCACAGACGCCACGTCTCACGAGGCGTTAATGCCCCGGCCCGCCAGCTCCCCCTGCAGGTCCTGCCCTGAAACCTCACCTGTGTACTTCCGCAGGACTCGACGTCCAGAGAGCGAAGGTACCACCTCTGACCCCTGACCTCTACTGACGTCTTGGACAGTTCGGTGGCGAATTAATCTACATAATTTCCCTCCTTTTACTCCAAATATAGTCGATCAGCTAAAACGTGTCTAAAGCTTAAGGCCTGAAACATATTTCATGCTAGGATGAACACAGACGCTTTGAGCTACGCAGATGGGGTTTTGCTTGTAGTTCAAAAATGCGTCACGACGCATTTCATAACGCAGTGCAAGCCGAGCTGTGTTCTGAGTGTTACAGCAGGGGGCGCTATAATGACAGCCAAGCCTGTAGTGGTCTTGTACCACCAGCTTGCTTCTCAACTGTCACAGCAGACAAGCAGTAAAAATATGATGCATTATGGCCTTTTCATTCCAGCAGAAGAAGTAAAGCAGCTCACTGTCCTCTACTGTCCACGTTCAGCTGTTGAGGCTGTTGGAATAACAGCAGATCCTCTCTGATTTGTCCTCTAGCGCCCCCTTCAGAACTCAGGGCTTTAACCACCACAGTATCATAAGAGTGCACAGTGACCGAGTGTGTGCAGTGCGTGGGCTGAGTGCTGTCGTTTGCTTTGAGTCTGTTTTTGGCCTTAGTCCTGGAGCTATGAGGCTATTATAGGTAAAAAGTGATGGAAGTCTGTAAGCAATTAGCCTGATGCTAACTGCATGCATAAATAATCACATACTTGCCTCAAAACCATGTGTTGGGGTTGTACACCAGTAACAACAGTTACAGGAGAAGGCCAACATCTTCTTACCTTTTCATATAAGTTAATGTAAACAAGTCTTTTTGAAGCATTTCTGTTGGTCCATTCATCATGAAGTTTTTACACAATATGAAGCACAGCTGCTGCGTTCAACTGATGTAGAAAAATAAAAATCGACCCATTCATCGACCTCACAATAAAAATTGACTTAATCGACCTCACTAAGCACTTTAAGGTACCTCTACCTTGTTTCTACACTCACTGCCCACTTTATCAGCTCTACTGACCGTATAGTTTCACTCTGTAGTTCTACAGTTACAGACTGTTTCTCTGCATACTTCGTTACCCTGTTAATAACCTGATATATCTTAACTGTTTTATGCATTTTAGTTTTTAATACTCAAAAGTCTTGTTACATTAATTTCCATTTATTCGTAGAACGATTGCTAAATCATATATATAAACAACATAGAAGGAAAACAGTAAAACAGTTAAAATTAATGGTCATTTTAAAGAGCTGCAAAGTAACTGATCACATGAACAACACACAGATTCTCTTAGCTTACAGAGATGGCGGAGCCTTCAGCCTGACGGCCACTGCTGTCCAGAAAAACACCAAAAATAACCGCTCTGTGGTTAAATTCCTGCTTTGTGTTTACTGGAAATTAATGGTGTTTGGTGAAGTTACTCACAGTGAGCCTGATGACCACGACTGCTGGATAATGTTTCTGTGAATAGACTGTGTGAGATACTGGATTCGCCTTGATGGAACTGCACAGGTGGGAACTGGAGAAATGATTCCAATTTTCTGCAGGGGCGGGTGGGAGCAGGACTGAAAAAACAGTCCTGCGCAGACTTCTATCTCAAACCGTGTGGAGGTGCTCAGTGTCTCTAATAGACTTGATTGTGTGGTTTCTGAGTCTGTAAGACTCACTGTGATCAATAAACACGGACTAAAGTACATTAACATAGTTTAACACTGAAGCTGTAATTTTGTCAATACTTTTGTCTATTTTTGTTGAGCGTGTGGTGATTTTTGCATGCAGTGAGCACCAAGCTAACAGGTGGGGTGTAAGCTTCAACTACTTGTTAGCTACATTAGCCTTGTAGCTCCAGTGCTAAAACTACAGAAGCAAACTTCAGACACCAAACATGTCTTGGCTGATCCACTACATTTGGGTAAATTTGATTTATTATTATTTTTGGGGGTTTTTTGGCCAAATTATCCCTTTAATTTTGGTCAACCTGCTTGTTTGGCTCTTGCTGTGTTCACAGTCTAAACGTTCTGAGTTTGAGTGGATGGCAGCTGAATGTAAGCTTTGTTTATCTGGACAGTGCTGGTGTCAGATGACAGTCAGGACAGCAGTCCAGCTGAACCCGGGAGCCCTACGGTGGTCCTGGATAAGAAAACTAAAAGGAGGTTTCTGGACCTGGGGTGAGTCACGGAAACATCCCTGTAGGAGCAAGAGCTCTATTTTATTCTCTCTTCATACTTCAGTCTCTCTGAGCCTGTCTCTCAGTGTGCCTTCTCCTCTCTCTCTCTCTCTCTCTCTCTCTCTCCCTCCCTTTCTCTCTCTCTCTCTCTCTCTCTCTCTCTCTCTCTCTCTCTCCCTTTCTCTCCCCCTCTTTCTCTTTATCTCCTCTCTTTTTCTCCATCTGTTTGTCTCTCGTTTTCCCTTTCTCTGTCCTCTCTATATCTCCATTTCCTCTCTCTCTCTCTCTCTCTCTCTCTTTCGCTCTCTATCTTCTCACTCTTTTTTCCTCTGTCTCTCTCGTTTTCCCTTTCTCTGTCCTCTCTATATCTCCATTTCCTCTTTCTCTCTCTCTCTCTCTCTCTCTCTCTCTCTCTCTCTCCCCCTCTTTCTCTTTATCTCCTCACTCTTTCTCCCTCTCTGTCTGTCTTGTTTTCCTTTTCTCTGTCCTCTCTATATCTCCACCCCACCTCTTTCTCTCTCCTCCCTCTCTCTCTCTCTCTCTCTCTCTCTCTCTCTCTCCCCTCTGTCTCTCTCTCTCTCTCTCTCCCTCTCTCTCTCTCCCTCTCTCTCTCTCCCTCTCTCTCTCTCTCTCTGTCTCCCCTCTGTCTCTCTCTCTTTCTCTCTCTATCTCTCTCTCTCTCTCCTTCCTCTGTCTCTCCCTCTCCCCCTCTCTCTCCCTCTCTCTCTCTCTCTCTCTCTCTCTCTCTCTCTCCCCCTCAGGGTGACGTTGCGTCGTTCCTATGTGAAAGTGAGGAGAGATAAGTCTAACAGACTGTCTATGGGAAGCCGGTAGGCCAGTTCACTTTCATTTCATTTATCCCTAATATGTGTGGAATTCACTGCCTTCCACAGAGAAAAGAAAAAAGTTAATACAGGACAGTTCAAAAGTCTGGAATCACCAGGTTCACCATGTTCAGTTGTTCATGCTTGCATGATTGTGTAGCAGATTCTAAAATCACTGAGAAATAACAATCTAGAACATTAACAAATTAAGGTCTAACAAAATTAACACCCAGAATGAAGTTCTAAGAAATAGACATTCAGAATGCCTTGTATTTCAAAAAGTTGTAATAAAATAAAATAATAGTTGATTGAAGTTAACAACCAATAATAAATGTTATCATTTACAATTATCATTTAAAAATGTAGTAACTTTAATAAAATATTAAAAAACATCTGAAAATACATTAAGCTGTATTTTATCTGTATAGAATATTTATATTCAAACTGTGTTATATAATTTATAATTTAATTAAAATAATAAACGGATTAAAATGACAAGTGATGTCAAACTTTTGAAATGTAGTGTATCTTCTGGATATTTTTTCTGCTTATTTCCCACAATAATTTTTAATGGTGATGGTTATTGGGACAAGCCTCTTAATCACTGAATCGGAGTCTCATTCAGTCTCGTTGCCACAGGTGTATAAAATCAAGCTCCTAGTCATGCAGTGAGCCTTTACACACATTAGTGAAAGAATGGGTCTAAAGAGTCACTGAATTCCAGCGTGGTGTTGTAACAGGATGTCACCGTTGTAACAAGTCAGTTCACAAAATTTCTTCCCTCCTAGATTTTCCACGATCAGCTGTGTGTGGTGTTATTGAAAAGTGGAAGCGTTTAGGAATCACAGCAACTCAGCCACGAAGTGTCAGACCACGTAAAGTTACAGAGCAGGTCTCCGAGTTCTGAGGAACATAGAGCGTAAAAGACACCAACGCTCTGCTGATCAATAACTGCAGAGTTTAAACCTCCTCTGGCATCAACATCAGCACAAACACTGCACTGGGAGCTTCATGGCAGGGTTTCCATGGCAGAGCAGCTGCATGCAGGCCTTACATCACCAAGCACAATGCCAAGCGTCAGATGTAGTGGAGTAAAGCGCCGCCACTGGACTCTGGAGCAGTGGAAACGTATTCTGTGGGGTGACCAATCAGCTTCACTACCTGTCAGTCTGATGGACGAGTCTGGGTTTGGAGAACGTTACCTGCCTGACTGCACTGTGTCAGCTATAGAGTTTGGTGAAGGAGGGATGATGATATGGGGCTGTTTTTCAGGGGTTGATCTAGAACCCTTAGTTCCAGTGAACGGAAATCTTAATGCTTCAGCAGAACAAGACATTTTGGACAATTCTATGCTTCCAGCTTTGTGGGAACAGTTTGGGGAAGAACTTTTCTGTCCCAGCATGACTGAGCCCCAGAGCACAAATTCCCACAGACTCTCTCCAACATCTTGTAGAAGCTTCCCAGAAGAGTGGAAGCTGTTAGAGCTGCAAAGAGGGACCAACTCCATATTAATGCCTCTGGATTTAGAATGGGATTCATAAAAGCTCCTGTATATATATCACTTTTCAGTTCTGTGAGATCCAGATTAACTGTTTATTTCTGAATTCACAGTAATGAATCTATCTCAGCTCCTCTGTGCTGAAATCTGTTCTCTCCCTCTGTCTGCAGAGAGCCGTCTGAGAACCCATCCCGTCCCTTCGTGCCTTTCTCCTGGTTCTCCGACAGTCACCGCAGCTCTGCCTCCTCTTCACCCAAAACAGGGGCGCACTCCGGCAGCCCCAGCAAGTCAGACTCACAGGTACCTGTTATGACGGTTCGCTCCTGAGTAGCGCTATGGCGATGTTTACAGGCCTGTATGTTCACCAGTAAAACCACAACCAGCATAACCACAATAAGCCTCTATATAAACCACACACGCAGAACATCCTACCCCATTACTGATAAAGACATCATGTAAATAGAATGACAGAGTCGCCTCATGAATCAGAAATGTATTGACTGGTAGCAAAATTTCTCTGGCCCACTTGTGGGCCTCATCCTTGGGTTTGTTCTGGCCCACTATACGGCTTTGGTAAATAACTACACAGCTAACCATCGTCCACTGTGGGCTGAGGTTTGGATGAGCTATTTTGGGGTGTTAGCTGGTTAGAAGCTAACTTGACTAACCGTCTTAACCCCATTGTGGGTTAAGGTTTGGGTAATTAGGGAGGGACACTGGCCAGTCAGTTTTTATCTATTATCAGCTCTGTTTGGGTTCATATGAATCTGTGTTTGACCATCTGTTTCTTCTCTCCAGGAGTCGGCGTTCAGTGATGATTTCTCCCCTAAAAGCCCCCTGCCTCCATCCAGCTCCCCAACCGACTCGCGCTCCTCACACCCCTACCACACACTGTCTCAGTCTTCAGATGAGGTCAGTGCTGAGGGTTGCCAGATTGCAGTTTCCAGCTAAATTTCAAAATCTGCCAAAATGCACGAAAAAACACCCAAAAAGTACAAATCAAAAACAGCCTACAGTTATTTTAATCTGAGTTAACCACTGATGTCTTTGCAGAAAAACTGCAGATACATTATATTGCCAAAAGTATTCACTCACCCATCCAAACCATTGAATTCAGGTGTTCCAACCACTTCCATGGACACAGGTGTATAAAGCCAAGCACCTAGGCCTGCAGACTGCTTCTACAGACATTAGTGAAAGAATGGGTCGCTCTCAGGAGCTCAGTGAACTCCAGCGTGGTACCGTGATAGGAGGCCACCTGTGCAACAAGTCCAGTTGTGAAATTTCCTCACTACTAAATATTCCACAGTCAACTGTCAGTGGTATTATAACGAAGTGGAAGCGATTGGGAACGACAGCAACTCAGCCACGAAGTGGTCGGCCACGTAAAATAACACGGGGTCAGCAGATGCTGAGGCGTATAGTACGCAGAGGTCACCAACTTTCTGCAGAGTCAATCGCTACAGACCTCCAAACTTCATGTGGTCTTCAGATCAGCTCAAGAACAGCGTAGAGAGCTTCATGGAATGGGTTTCCATGGCCAAGCAGCTGCATCCAAGCCTTACATCTCCAAGCGCAATGCAAAGCGTCGAATGCAGTGGTGTAAAGCGCCGCCACTGGACTCTAGAGCAGTGGAGACGTGTTCTCTGGAGTGACCAATCACGCTTCTCCATCTGGCAATCCGATGGACGACTCTGGGTTTGGCGGTTGCCAGGAGAACGGTACTTGTCTGACTGCATTGTGCCGAGTGTAAAGTTTGGTGGAGGGGGGATTATGGTGTGGGGTTGTTTTTCAGGAGTTGGGCTCGGCCCCTTAGTTCCAGTGATTTTGGACAATTTCGTGCTCCCAACTTTGTGGGAACAGTTTGGGGACGGCCCCTTCCTGTTCCAACATGACTGCGCACCAGTGCACAAAGCAAGGTCCGTAAAGACATGGATGAGCGAGTTTGGTGTGGAAGAACTTGGCTGACCCTCACAGAGTCCTGACCTCAACCCAATAGAACACCTTTGGGCTGAATTAGAGCGGAGACTGAGAGCCAGGGCTTCTTGTCCAACATCAGTGTCTGACCTCACAAATGCGCTTCTGGAAGAATGGTCAAAAATTCCCATAAACACTCCTAAACCTTGTGGAAAGCCTTCCCAGAAGAGTCGAGGCTGTTGTAGCTGCAAAGGGTGGGCCGACATCATATTAAACCCTATGGATTAAGAATGGGATGTCACTCAAGTTCATATGCGTGTGAAGGCAGACGAGCAAATACTTTTGGCAATATAGTGTATATTGCAGGATATATAATTTGTTGCTAGGTGGCGCTGACAGTCTTTTAAACAAATGTGTTTATTTTAGCACTGCCAAAAAGAACCAAAAGCTTTTTACACAAATTTTAGTATCCCTGACAAACATCTAAGAAACACCTGGACAAAGAAACTAAAATAATTTAAATAAAATAATCAAATAATTTGATTTGTATGTGATTATTATTTTCATAACTTGCAGAGCTAGCACTCTCCAAACTCACCAATATTGAGAGCATTATATTTTTAAAATGTATTGTATATGACAGGGTGAGATCCAATCCTTATCAGAAAGAGAAATGAATAGCAATAACAAATACAATACTTGTTATAATATTACAGTGGTAAACTTTTCCTCATACACATTATAAAAACTTGTTTACCTTTAGAGGCTCTGCTGAACAGATCACACTGCTCCAGTTTCCCACTATTACATTTTATTTACTATCCAAAACCACCACCTACACAAGTCTTCTGAGTCTATATGGAATGTTGATGATGGAAAACAGTGGAAAATCTGAAATAATAAGGATTCTACAGTCAGCAGTGCAGAGTGAACTGGACAATGTGCACTGCGTCAGACTAGAATACTCATCCATTACATCAGTAATAAACTGGGAATGTACACTCTTACAAAAAACATGGTTCTTCAAGAGTTCTTTAGTAAAGGGAACGGAGGTATTTAGTACCATGAGTTCTATATAGAACCATTTCATGCTTAAATGGTTCTTTGCATGTTGAAATGTTCCTTGAATATGGTTCTATATAGCACCAAAAAGGGTTCTTCTGTTGTTACAAGCTTGACATCGTACCAATAGCAGAACCCCTTTGGTGCTACAAAGAACTGTTTTCAAAAAGGTTCTATATGGAACCATATATATATCACATTCTTCATCAATCTGAAGAACTGTTTCACTATGCAAAAACCCCATTTACTAAAGAACCCATCTTTTTTAAGAGTGTTGATTGCAAACGGTACACATGGGCAGGGCAATAGATTGATAACTGATTGGATGTGTGGGCCGATTCAAATTTCAGCTGCATTATTAAGCAATGCAGTTTATTAATTTTCTATATTTTTTAAAACCCGCTAAAATAATGACAAACCAGCCCAAAATTTGTCCACCAGTCAAAACACTTTTTCTCCCACCAATTTAGGCAAAATTGGCCCCATCTGGCAACACTGCCCCTGCAGGGCTGGAGGTGAGGTGCACCAGTGTATAGAAAAATACACAGATTGAGTGAATGGAAAATTGAAAAAATAGTATCCCCATCAGTGAGGACGGAGCTGTATAAATATAGCTTAATATTTCTCATTAAAAGGTCTTATCTGGATTGTACACTGTTGGTCATCGAAATGTTGATAGCTTGCAGACTGAAACTGAAGGGTGGGTGTAGAAATCAATCGTCCAAACTTGTAACATGCAAAAGATGTTTACTTTTGTGTTTATAAGATGTTTGGCTGTGTTTACTGTAGATTTTATTTAAAATGAATTTTCATGTGAAGTGTTAGAAATAATCCCACATTTTGTAAACCCTCAGGGGTTTTTGTAACTTTGTAGGGATAGACAATGCTATGAGGTTCACTGTTGTTCATCAACAACATAAAAAATACTGCAAACAAACAATCAACGATAAATTTAAGTGGGAATTCTGCATTTTTTTTTCAAACTTTCTGCATAACTCAGTGTCTGAGATGTAAACAGAGAGATTCAGAGTGGTTTGGTGTGAAATGGTTTACAGTTTACAGGGGTGGTGATAGGAACCAGGGGTCGCCATGACTACAACACAAATATAGACATTTTATTTACTATCCAGAACCACCAGTGAACCTACACGAGTCTTCTGAGTTTATATGGAATGTTGATGATGGAAAATAGTGGAAAATCTGAAATAATAAGTTTTCTTTGGGGACTATTTTGCCTCACAGCTCCCTGCATGTATCCCTCCACCATGAATGAAGTTTAAGGACAAAATCTTCTCAAAACTGTCACAAAACAGTGCCTCAGTCATCAGGCAGTGAATTCATTCAAGTTTCTCTAGAACAGAGCATTTCACACCAAACCACTCTGAATGACTCTGTTTAGATCTTAATCATTTATTTATGCAGGAATTTTGAAAAAACAGTGGAATTCCCCTTTTAAGGCCCGTCTTGAGTTTTCATCTTACAGCATGTTTTGCAATTCAGTCATTTTAATCCAGGTCTGAAAAGGTTCTGATTAAACATAATCTCATCTGTCTCTGTCTCTGAAGCCGTTAGATGAGCGGCAGTGCCTTCTGTCCTCGTGGAGCACGCAGCAGGTCTGTGACTGGCTGAGGAGTTTAAACATGGAGCAGTACGTCCCCAAGTTCAGAGAGAAGCACGTCGATGGAGAATTGCTGCTGCAGCTGGACGGAAACAAGCTGAAGGTGGGAGAACGTGTGTGTTTATCTTTTTATGGGGATCAAATCCTCCCAGTCTATCATGAATATTAGTGATAGTGTGGACTGCTGGCTGCTCTTCGCAAGGAAAAATACTTTTTTACCCCTAAAACTGCAGCATTTTATTAGAAAAAGTAGTTAATCTTGTGGCTGCTGAAGTTTGATTGGTTTGGTGTGAAACGCTCCGTTCTAGAGAAACTTACTGAGTCAGAATTGTTCACAGTGGTGGTGATAGGAACCAGACGTCCACCTCTAAAAGCTCCTCACAGAAAAAGTTATTATATTAAATGGTTATGAATTCACTGCCTGATGACTGAGACACTGTTTTATGATAATTTTGAGAAGATTTTGGAATTTAAATCCATTCATGGTGGAGGGATACATAGTATGCAGCATGCTGTGTGGCAAAAAAGATCCCTAAGAAAACTTATTATTTCAGATTTTCCACTATTTTCCATCATCAACATTCCATATAAACTCAGTAGACTCGTGTAGGTTCACTGGTGGTTTTGGTTAGTAAATAAAGTGTTCAAATTTGCACTGTAGATATTGCTGTTCTGGTTTCTGTCACCACTGACTGAAATGTAAGTTAGTTTCTCTACAGTGAACTATTTCACATCAAACCACTGAATGACTTTGTTTAACATCTCAGTGACTGAATCGTGCAGAAATTTTGAAAAACTGGTGGAATTCCCCTTTAAGTTAGACATAACATATTACTTGTCTGCCCTCTAGTGGTGACAGCTGGTCCTGTTTCTGAGGTTAATAATATTTATTATGGTAGATCATCAGTAATCAAATACAAGCCTCCTTATAATGGCTTATAATGGCTTATAATGGTCTAAGAAATATTTTAAGAACTTATTCTTGTTTAATATTATATACAACTTCATGCAGTCTTATTTTTACATATTAAATAGTATTTTATTTTTTGCTGGCACAGAAATGTGGTGTAAAAAGCAGTAAAAATTCTTACCTAAAGGGGCATTTCAGCCTAAAACCACAGTTTAAAATGTTATTTGTGATGTTATGCAGTTTTCAGCAGTGCAGCACTGGCTCCCACAGCCTCTTCAGTTTGACAAAAGTAATGATTTTTTCTGTTTCATGTTTTCGTTCAGCAGTTCCACTAACATAACCCATAATGCATCATGCATGTATGTAATACAACCACTAATAATCCCTGTGGTGTCACCAAATCCTGATGGCTAACCATTGAGCTACAGGCTAATAAATACAACCAAGCTAGCAACTTGTTGCTGCATTTGTTCTGCAGAGTTGATCACTGTAATGATCTTCTTACTGGAGAAAACAGTTCATCCTCTAGAACCCGTACAGAATGCAGCAGCACAGATCCTCACAGCACCAACACAGAGAGCTCATATCACCCCGTTTACACACTGCACTGACCGCCTGGATCTTTTACACACTGCACTGACCGCCTGGATCTTTTACACACTGCACTGACCGCCTGGATCTGTTAGAGAGAGTTTAAAGCTCTGCTGCTGGTTTTTAAAGCTCTAAATGACCTTAAAGCTCCTGAATGTCTGTTTATGATCTCAGATCTGCAGATTCTGACCTTCTGAACTCCTTCAGTAAAACACAGAAAACGTGGAGAGACTCTTTCAGTTATTCTGCTTCTAAACTGTGGAGCTCAGTTCAGCTTTTATTAGACAGTCGAGCTCAGAGCTCACTTTTAATAAACATCTGAAAACGCAGCTCTTTAACTCAGCGCTTCAGTAAAACTCTACTATCTAATCTGATCTGTGTTATTGACTTATATGAGTTTAAACTTATACTCATAGTTTCCTGTTACTGTTAAGCTTTATCACCTGTCTGTAAAGCACTCTGAGCTGCCAGCATGAAAAGGGCCCTATAAGTAAAGATTTTTATTATTAATGTTATTTTTAATGAACACCAGAGACAGTTTTTACCGTATCAGCCAGAGAAAAGGATCCACCCTGAGGTGAGATATCTGCATAGCCAGGTAGAGTTTGGGTTACTTCAAGTTAATGTTCATCTTACAGACAGAAGGACCCAATGAGTTTTATTGGCTAACTAAGCTAACATGAACACTTACCTTGAACATTAGCTTACATTAGCTAATTAACTAGCTAACAGGCACTTAATTACTCACAGCTTTAGGTTTGATAAGGTTACTAAAAGAACACAGTAGTTACTTGGCTTAGTTAGCAAACCAGCTAATAGCTTGTTTAGGTTGGAATTTGAGTGTTTTTTTTTTCTTTTCTTTTAACTCTGAAATAGTTATTAAAATCAAATTAGCTAAGTTTAATAGTTTATTAGAAATAAACCTAAATAAAAGTATCATTTCTACCGCGACCCAGAAGGATAAGCGGTTTAGATGATGGATGGATGGATGGAAAAGTATCATTTCTGTGATTTAAAGTCAGTATAAATGTTCCGTAGCTTGACGTACTTGTTAGTGAAACATGCTATCAGGGAGAGTCTTGGAGCTGGCTGAGCTTTTTCTTGTCATGACGGGGAGTAAGAGGTGAAGCGTGAGGTTATTGGTTAATAGTGTTTTGTCCCGCCCTCTGGTGCATGGTGACATCACTGGCATAAAATCACTTTTTAAAGGCAGAGCTAAAGTCATTACATTTTGATGGAATATTACAGGAAAACAAGAATGAAGTCTTTTGCGTTATATGATGAGATGATAATATGATCAGACGCACAAACTAACAAGATAAAAAGAAATCAGTTTTGATTTTAAGTTACTTTAAGGTAAGTTATTGTTCACCTTACAGAACCGAGGCCTCATTCTGGGTTTATTGGCTAACTAAGCTACCGTACTAGCATGCCTTGAACACTGGCTTACATTAGCTAATTTAGCTAACTAACAGGCACTCACAGCTTTGGGTTTAATAAAGAGCTGCTGTGCTTAATATTTTAAAATAACAAAATTAAAAAGAAATAAAAAATGCTATAGTTATTTAGCTAAGCTTAGTTAGCAAGCCAGCTAATTGCTTGTTCAAGTTGGAATTTGAGTGTTTCTGTTTTAACTATTGTTTTAATCTGTAACAGTTATTAAAATTAAATAAAATTAGCTTTGTTTAATACATTATTATAAATAACGTCAGATCAAAATAAAACGCTATGACATAAATTCCTCCATTTTCCTCCATGACGTAGCAGCAGGGCAAAAATCATTGCATTGATATTTGAATCCTTATAAGAAGAAGGACACAGCCTGACCAAGTAAGTGATGTCCGTTTTGATTTTAATTTGACTTTAAAGCCAGGTTGCCTTTAAATATACGTTGAAAAGTGGCGTTATAGAGAAAACCTGTACTCTGACTGTAATGAAAGTAAATGTAATTCTTTACCCCCACCCCCCCCCCTCCCCCCGCGCAGGGTCTGGGCGTGTTGAACTCGTCGGATCGCAGTCTGCTGAAGCGGAGAATCAAAGACATCAACACTGCGGCGGAGAAGGAGCGCAAGGCTCTGGACAAACTGGAGAAACAGAGAGAGAAACAGAGGAAGAAAGACCAGGAACAGAGGAAGAACTGACTGACTCACAGGAGATGAAGCTTTCAGACGGCACTTTAAAGGAAGAGTTTGGTCAGAAATCAGATGTACACAGTTTTCCCCCTTAACTCAAACGTATTCAATCAGCCAAGACATGTTTGGTGTTTAGACGGACAAAAATGGGCCAATTTTAGACTTCAATATGGCTGCTACTGTGTTTAGCTATGCTAACATACTTTACTCCATGTTTATAGATAACAGTGAGTCACACAGTGTCAGAAACCACAGAATCAGGTCTATTAGAGACACTGAACTCCTCCACACGCTTTGAGGAGAGTGTGTGATTATTTAGTCATGCAGTTAGCACCATGCTAATGGGTGGAATAAAGCCTCCAGGGAGCGTACCTATGTTCTCAGGGCTGAGCATCCTCTTAGCTCTTTAGGTTACACCTAAAACCTCAATATTATACATTAAGAAAAGGGTTCCTAAGGTCATGGTTAGCCTCCTGAGGTCACCAAAGGCCATGCAGGGACAACAACAATAGGAAATATAATATAATGCCCAGAGACATTATAAAGGAGGAGGGGATGGGTAAAGATGGGAAAGCTTGTAATGCACAACATGGTGTCTGTTTGCAGGACAAATCCCACCCTTCAGTAAAAAGAGCCTCTCTGGATGAGCCACAAGCAGGAAAAGATCTCGAAAAAAACTACGTTATTTAAGCGAATCTAGAACTATACACTATACACACTACACACTGTTAGAAATGAAGGTTCTGTGCAGGTACATCGAGGTACAAACAATGTAAATGTTCCCTCAAAGCTCCAACAATGGCTGTGTTTACATGCAAAGATTTTTGCCAATCCGATTGAATACAATCCGATTACAGATTCAGACTGAGGTGTTTATATGCACACTCTGTTCAACAATTTGATGGAAAATCTTCGTTTACATGCTCACTACAAGTAATCCGATGCAAAATGACGCGCATACGTGGAGTAGCGTTTAGAGTAAACGTTACCATGACAACGAACATCACGTGAGGTCCAGTCCGCGTGATATGAGTTTCCAGTTGGCGCGCTTGTGTTTTAATTGCTTTAAAATGATGTCAGACGTGCTTCACATGTGCTTATAAAGGAAGCGGCGAGAGGAAGACGTCGTGTTCTGAGACTCATAAACTGGACGTCCGTCCCACCGCCGTCTTTTAAAGCTCAGAGCATAAACTTCGTCTCCTCTGCAGACCAGTTTCTGCTCCGCCATGCTGAACGGTATAAACTTTCGCCATGACGCGACGCACATGCGCAGAACATACTTACACGTTCCGATTGGAATGTAATCGGATTCAGGCGTTTACATGGCTATTATTCTTCTATTTAACGGATTATTTAGAAGTTTACCCACCTCGTTCAATCGGATAGAAATTGTATTCCGAATGGCCTCAATCGGACTAGTCTATTCCGATTGAGGTGTTTACATGGACGTGTTCTATTCCGATTGAGCTATTAGTCGGATTATTAACGGATTATCAGGCTGCATGTAAACGTGGCTAGTGGTTTTAAGGTCTGAACCTTAAATAAGTTTTTCCAGGTGAAAAGTTTGTATTTGTACCTTTTCATAACCGAATGTTTTAAAACAGAACAGTAAAATAAAAGCCTGGAGACGAGACGGGGTGTGTGGAGTCAGTACAGCTTAGAACATATCATTTCAGTGGATTATGGTTCAGTTATGTTCCCTGACTAAAGGTACTGAGATGAACCCTTGAGGGTCCCACCCCAGAGATGAGAGGGGAACTGACCCAGTGACGGTTTAGTACCTTTATTTCTGAGAGTGTAGGCAAGTCTGTTCACTCAGCGGCCAACTTTGCAAATTTGCCAGGCACTTATTTCCAGTCCTACAAGACCAGACCTCTCTCTGTGAATGAGGAGAGACCAAAATACTCAACACTGAAGGCCAAATTACCATTTAAAAAACACATCCCTGCTTGAAATCACTGATAAAATCGGACAGAAACCTCGTAAATTGCCTTTGTCTCGATAACGCACAAAAACATTTTTTTTTTGGCATATTCTGGCTTTGCACTTGCACAGACCCCCACAACGAGGGGATCTTTTCCTACTCGCAGCTTAAACAGCTTTTCTTGAAGGGCGAGACTTTCCCTGCAAACAGACGCCATGTTGAGCATTACAAGCTTTCCCATTCATGTTTCACCCAGTGACCGTCTCCTCCTCCTTTATAACATCTCTGGCTAATTGCTGTGCAACTTTTGTCCTGATTTTTGTAGATTTTACTAGTGATTTCTAATATGTTTATTAATGTGGCTTTTAGTTTGGGTTTTATAGGTGTCTTCTTATTCAAACACAGAGGCTAGCTTCAGTGAGCTAATTAGCTAACTAAGCAATTTTTTTTTAACATCAGAAAGTTCTTGAGACATTTTTGAGCACAGAAAAGTAACAAACTTACATCAGCAGACATGTACAACAGATGGACTAGTTCACTACGTAAAGCCCAGTTTGAAAGTAGTGGACAAAATGTTGTGTTAAATAGCCATGATTTCCAGGTAGGTTCTTCTCCTGAAGTCTATATTGATGCTGACTCGACCCCTCACCGCTCCGAGAAGTCATTTGAGCTAATTCAGTGATGGGAATAGCCCTTAAAATGGTACGAAGGAATCCCCCTGAGGGGAAATGGTGAAGGGCAAGTTGTTGTGATGCTTTTAGTACCGTGACGTTTAAAAGTGAAAGTGGGTAAAAACACTAATCACTGAATAGATTCCCATTCTGGTTCACTGAAAGGTTCAACCAGAATGTGTTTTAATAAAGGAGTCTATTTGGAAGCAGGTTTGAAAGCATGATTATAATTAGTCTTAGTCTTACTGCCTGTTTCAGTACCAGTTTTAAGAAGCCCTCGTCCACTTTGCCTCGCTGTTTTTCTTCGGGAATCTAAGATGCCGTCTTTCGGGTTGTTCCAATGCTGTATCGGCTCTAGTAAAGTTTATTAGATGAGCTCTCAGAGAGGTGAGGGATTGAGTGAATGTATCGACTTCAGTAGCAGCAACTTGCGCATTTCCCTTTTCAGATCTGAAAATAATGGTGGATAAAGCTGCTTATTAGTCCTATACTTCCAAGTGTTCATTTCAGCTTTAGGCTGCATCTGTTCCTTGTTGTCCCCGTCCTCCCTTCCTTCTGTCTTATATGAAGTTAGTCTTGTTTTGTTGAAGAAACGTGATTGTGGCGTAAGGCCATAGGAATATAGAGCTGTTTACTGGAAAATATAAATGAGGGAACAGAGAGATGACCATTACCTTTAGCTTCCATTACCTCCCAGATAGTGAGAGGATCGCAGGCCACTGTTGTCCTGCTGACGGCAAAGCTGGCGGATGGCCTGGTATTAGACAAGATGCCAGTATTCAGAGCTCTGCTTCCACTCACAGACCAAATTTACCTATTTTTCCTCCATTTGTTTTTTTCTCCTTTGTAAATTAGTTTAGTAAATAATTCTAACAGTATAATTGAATTCTAACAATATCATAAATAAGGCTGGTGATACAGCCATAACCAATCTAGCACAGTGTCAGCAACAACATTTTCAACAAAACCATTTTAAATAAGGCCTAGTCTGTTATTTGCAATATTTGTCTGAGTTTATTTTCCAAGTTAAAAGTCTGTGTGCATTTAAAATCTGTTTGAGGAAATTTAAAAACTGGTTAGTCAGGACAGTAACCTGGGTGGTCCGAGGGTGGACCAGCAGTGAGAATTACAGTGAGGACCCGTATATGTTTGCTGTCTGGGCTGTTAGCTACATTAGCCTCCAGCTCAAAGTCTAAAACTGCAGAAGCAAATTTCAGACACCAAGCATGTCTTTGTTGATCTACTATGTTTGCCATAAGGTGGGGAAAACTGGATAAATTCGATTTTTTTGGATAACTTGGCTTGAACCGTGCTTTGTATCATTGACATAACCATGCCATAAACATACCAAGGCAGATGTCATATGCTGTCATATAACAGATTATGTCCCATAACATAACAGTGTTATGTTACTATTACCAGTAATTGTCATGGTTGATGTCATAATGTTTGATGTTATGACAGCTCAGTGCCAATTTTTGCTAAGTGCACACTAGTTAGCCTTCATGACATCAAACACTATGACATTATGACATGTCAGAATATTGCAGAGTTGGTAACATCAGTTATATCACTAAGCATAATCTGTTGTGACATCTTATCTGACAGTTATATCACTGAGCGTAATCTGTTATGACAGCATATCTGACAGTTATATCACTGAGCGTAATCTGTTATGACAGCATATCTGACAGTTATATCACTGAGCGTAATCTGTTATGACAGCATATCTGACAGTTATATCACTGAGCGTAATCTGTTATGACAGCATATCTGACAGTTATATCACTGAGCGTAATCTGTTGTGACAGCATATCTGACAGTTATATCACTGAGCGTAATCTGTTATGACATCATATCTGACAGTTGTATCACTGAGCGTAATCTGTTATGACAGCATGGCTTTGTCAAGGCACGGTTTTGTAAAATGTTACTGACTGGTTTTGCCAAACTCTTCCTTTAACGGCAGTGACACGCTTCGTTTTTGTCACGTTGTCCGGTTCTTGTTGCATAATATTTATACTACTCTGTGTTGTGTAACAGTATATTACACATACGTGTCGTTGCTACATCAGAAACAGCTTAGCAGAGTCATAGTGTGTTATAACACCGTGAAGCTTCCACACACTCGTGCAGTAGAGCTCAGTTAGATCGTGTGTGTCTCGTCTCGCTGTGACAGTAGCTTTGCTTTAGCACTCGAGGGATTTACAGGGCAGGACAGTAAGCAGAAAGATGAGAATTACTGCAGAGAGAAGTAGCAGCACTAAAGGAATAGTTCAGAATTTACACAGATTGACCCTGAACCCAAATGCAGCCGATCAGCCAAGACGTGTCTGGTATCTAAAGCTATGCAACGAATGTTTGTCCATGTTTATAGATAACAGTATGGCATACATTTGAGATAGCCCCGCCCTTTCAACCTCAGTTTAGCCCTGCCCATTCAGCCTACAGCAGTTTTGGCCCATCCACTGTAGTGTCAGTCATTTAGTCTCGCCCATTCAGACTTTAGCACTTTAGCACCACCCATTCAGCCTACAGCACTTTAGCACCACCCATTCAGCCTACAGCAGTTTAGCACCACCCATTCAGCCTACAGCAGTTTAGCCCTGCCCATTCAGCCTACAGCACTTTAGCACCACCCATTCAGCCTACAGCAGTTTAGCACCACCCATTCAGCCTACAGCAGTTTAGCCCTGCCCATTCAGCCTACAGCACTTTAGCACCACCCATTCAGCCTACAGCACTTTAGCACCACCCATTCAGCCTACAGCAGTTTAGCCCTGCCCATTCAGCCTACAGCACTTTAGCACCACCCATTCAGCCTACAGCAGTTTAGCCCCACCTATTCAGCCTACAGCAGTTTAGCCCCACCCATTCAGCCTACAGCAGTTTAGCCACACCTATTCAGCCTACAGCAGTTTAGCCCCACCCATTCAGCCTACAGCAGTTTAGCCCCACCTATTCAGCCTACAGCAGTTTAGCCCCACCCATTCAGCCTACAGCTGTTTAGCCCCACTCATTCAGGCTTTAGCACTTTAGCCCCACCCATTCAGCCTACAGCAGTTTAGCTCCGCCCATTCAGCCTACAGCACTTTAGCCCCATCCATTCAGCGTACAGCAGTTATTATTTCAGATTTTCCACTATTTTCCATCATCAACATTCCATATAAACTCAGAAGACTCGTGTAGGTTCACTGGTGGTTCTGGATAGTAAATAAAATGTCTATATCTGTGTTGTAGTCATGGCGACCCCTGGTTCCTATCACCACCACTGTAAAGACATCTGAACCATTTCACACCAAACCACTCTGAATCACTCTGTTTACATCTTAAACACTTTGGTTGCAGGTTGTGCAGTTCTACATAGTTGTTAGCTACAGGAGCCTAACACTAAAAATGTCTTAGCTGATCGACTAAATTTGGGGTAAGAGGAGGGAAAACTTGTAAATTTGACTTTTTTCCCAAACTGTTCCTTTAAAATGAACCATTACATAAAAACATTGGCCTTTGTTCCTTCATCAGCCACAGACTGATCATCTTCACCTTCACGTTCAGTGAATCAGTAGAACTGAAACATTACTGCAGGTGAACAGCAGGACAGGTTTACACAGGACGGCGTGAGTAAAATGTGGCGTATTTTGCTGCATACAGAACTTGACTCCAGATATGTTTGACTGAAAGTAGACTTTTATTAAACCATGTTCACTTTAGATCACATATTATCCAGTTTAAAAACAAACTGTACTCCGTACTGTCGGCCTGAATAAAACTCCAGACGTATTTCCGCAGCACAGCCGCATGTACGGCCACAATACGGAGTTTTTTAGGTTGTTTCAGTGCAATCCCATGATGTAAGTATCTCACTTGTATGCTGACCACACACAGTAAAAAATGCACAGTTCTGCTTTCACAATCCGGTTTCACACGTTGCTCAACACAGTTTCTGAACAGCAAACATTCGCTTTTCACCTTTTAACCTCGTTATATATTCAAGTGGTCTTGAAACTTTTGCTGCTGAATGAATGACAATGAACGAATGAATACATAAATAAATAAATTAGCAAATAAATAAATAAATAGTTTCCTTTGACCTTAAGTAACTGACGGCTGCATTGCATGAGATTCGGTATCATTCTGTATAAATATACAGTACACACACACACACACACACACACACATATATATATATATATATATATATTGCATTATATAGTGCATTCCTGTTGCATTATTAGTGCATTCCTGTTGTTATTAGTGGTCGTAAAAACTGGTATAAAAAGAAATGAACAAAAAAAGAAAAGCACCTTACATCATGCAAATTAACCCTTGAACCCCAGACTTATTAATCAGATATTAATCTTACAACGTGTTACTTAGTAACTACGATGGATTATTAAGCAATTATGAAAAAGACATATTATAGTATGTAAGTTGTAGTTATGAGAGTTGACCCATATCGAAGCCCTGCCCCAAATCACCAATTGTCCAATCATAACTTAGCTACTGTAACTAGGCCTGGACACTCCTGACAGGCCTTCAGAGCTTTATAATATGCCACAACGCTCACGTAACTGTAAATATCAGCAAATTTAGGGGTGAATCTGGATTATTTAGAAGACACTGCCAGTTAAATCCATTAAAAAACACACAACACGTGTACACCTGCTGAACTTATCAAACTACACTACTGTTCAACATTGTAGAGTCACTGTTTTCAGTAATATAAGATATATAAAATGTAAAAAATGCCACTGACATGATGCTAATATTAAAATAGTAAAAAAGCAGAAAATTTTAATTAATAGTGGATCTGAGAAAGCTGTGTAAGTTTTAATAAAACTAATATCCAGAACGCCTCATATCAAATAGCTATTCATTGAACATTTATGTCTAGAAATTACTATAAATCATTATATTTCATTATCAATAAGTTCATTTAAGTTTTTAAGTTTAATAACATTTCGCTGCTGTCGGAAGAAAACCTTTTTTGTCGTTTTTCAGTTTTTGACATAATTTGAAAACGCCTGTTGTCCTTTGCACTGTGTGCATGATGAATGGACTAAAATTATTTGGAAAAAAATTCTGGTTCCATTGACTTCCATTAAAAGTGAAGTGTGTTTTTCCTTCTCCTGTAAAGTTACGACCCTGGGGGTACAAGGTTTTGTTCCCACAGCAGAAATGAGCTTTTTTGCCATATGATAACTGCTTAATGCTCCTAATGCTATTCATGTGTGTGAATAACCAGTTTATGTTTTGGCATCTAGTTTATGATATTTAAATCTGCGCTGTATTAGTTATTATTGAACAACAATTATTTTTAACACAAAACATGATTACAAACTTTTGACTGCTGTTGTGATTAGCTAACTAGTAGGTCTGGCTAATGAAATGTTTCCTTTTTTATTATTGGTAACAAAATTCAACAAAAATATTAGTGTTATAAATATCTAAATAAATTAATAACAAGCTGTGCAACCTTTAGAACAGCAACAGCCGGTTTGGTAGTTAGCTTAAACACTCTCCTTGTATGTGAACAATCGTATGTTTATCTACACACTTTAAAAAGATGGTTCTTTAAGGGTTCTTTAGTAAAGAAAATAGTTCTATATAGAACCGTGAACAGTTAGAGAACCCTTTGCATGATTAAAAGGTTCTTTGCAACATGAAAGAGTTATTCAGATCAATAGGAAGTCTGTTTTATATGGTTCTATATAGAACCTTTTTGAAAAGGGTTCTATATAGCACCAAAAAAGGCTTTTTTATTGTTACAAGCTGACATTGTCACAATAGAAGAACCCCTTTTGATGCTATATAGAACCCTTTTCAAAAAGGCTCTATATAGAACCATCTACGTGTCCATGGTTCGATACAGAACCATTTTTTTTTACTAAAGAACCCTTTAAAAAACATTATTTTTAAGAGGGACCTGGACATCGTAACAAAACCAGAACGCTTTTTGGTGCTCTATAGAACCCTTTTCAGAAAGGTTCTATATTCTCCATCGATCTGAAGAACCATTTTAGTGTGTTAAGAACCCTTTAATTGTGCAAAGGGTTCTTTGAGTGTTTATGGTTCTATATAGAACTATTTTTCTTCCATCTCATCTACACAGGTCACCTCTGACTCTCTGACTGTGAGCTTCAGCCTTGATCGTCACTCTTCTAATGCTATTAACTGTTCACAGCTAATAAATAAAACAAATGAACAATAATAATAAATACTATAAATATAAATAAATAAATAAACGAAGGTGAAGAGCCACCAGTTAGTATAATCCAAATGACGTTGTGCGTGTTTGGTCAGTTCTTCATTTAAAAGGTCAGAATCTATCCTGAGGCCGGAGTTCAGGCTCCGAGTGCAGAGTGTGTGAGGATGTGTCGCAAGCTGCGGAAAACGTCCTGTCCAAAACTCCGGAGCTGCTGCAGGATGAGGTGAGTGGCCACCTGGACCTCGTAATCACCAGTCAGACGGGAGGAGAGGGAGGACGACTGGACTTGTGGTTCTGACGGGGTCAACTGGGCCAGCTGCTGCACCTGGACACAGACAGACACAGCGCGTTTAGTGTTATACTTTCATAGTAGAAACGCCGAACTGAAAAAGTAGATATTGAATAATTTACAGTAGATACTGAATAATTAATAGTAGTTAATAATAATTCAGAGTAGATACTGAATAATTCAGAGTAGATACTAAATAATTCATAGTAGTTGCTAATAATCCATGGTAGATACTGAATAATTCATATTAGATACTGAATCATTCATAGTAGATACTGAATCATTCATAGTAGTGCTGAATAATTCGTAGTTACTAAATAATTCATAGTAGATGCTGAATAATTCCTAGTAGTTACTGAATAATTCCTAGTAGATGCTGAATAATTCATAGTAGATACTGAATAATTCATAGTAGTTACTAAATAATTCATAGTAGATACTGAATAATTCATAGTAGATACTGAATAATTCATAGTAGTTACTAAATAATTCATAGTAGATACTGAATAATTCATAGTAGATACTGAATAATTCATAGTAGTTACTAAATAATTCATAGTAGATACTGAATAATTCATAGTAGTTACTAAATAATTCATAGTAGATTCTGAATAATTCATAGCAGTTACTGAATAATTAATAGTAAATACTAAATAATTCATAGATACTGAATAATTCATAAAGGTTACTGAATAATTAACAGATGATACTGTATAATGTATAGTTCATTGTAACATTGTATAGTGTTTTTACTGTATTTGTGTTAATTTGAGTTTATTCTAACGTCGTATAGTGTTTTACTGGTAAAGCACACTCACTGCCCAGATAGACTTTTGTGCAGAACTGTGTGAGTGAGTAGAGCCTCTAACAGGCGAATCCGGCCTGTATTTGCAGCAATATTGTGTTCATTATGTCACCAGAGGCCTCAAATAATCTGCTAAATAACAATCAAACCCACCTTGTGCACCTGAGCAGACAGGTCTCTGAGGTCCGCCAGGAGAGGGGTCAGTTTTTCTGAGCATTTCAGCTTTTCCTTCACTTCCTGGAGGAGATGCTGGTGCAGCTGCAGGCCTTCAGAGATTCGGCCCAAACTCATTGCCTGAAAGAGGAGGAACAGACGGTCAGTAACCTGAGACTTATCAGCACTAAGACAGACAAACCTCAAACAAGCGCGCTTCTTTAGCTCAGACGCTAACAAGTAATGAACTTCCATTTACTCCACAAAGCAGCTAACTGTGTCCTTAAATCATCTCAGACCACGTGGTGTTCAGTGTCTCTAATAGACCTGATTCTGTGGTTTCTGACCCTGTAAGACTCACTGTGATCCATAAACATGGACTAAAGCACAGCAGTAGCCTATCTTAACGTCTGGAATTTATCCACATTTTTGTCCATCTGTGTAGATAACAGTAAAGACTAGGCTGCATGTTGGATATGTGCTCAGATCAGAACACTAAAACTGTGAGGAAATAATACCGTCATTTGAAATAATCCATAATTTGAGAATAATTTAAAGACGCTGGCTGCTCTGTGTTAAAATCTCATGACTAACAGATGCTTAGAAGCAGCTAAAAAATCAATTAACCTACATTAAAAGTTAAGAACATTTTTTTTTCTCCTGTAAAATGATCAGTTTGGCGATACGAGTGTTTGTTTCCACAGTGATGAAGTTGTAGGGAAAAAAAGAGGAGATTAAGAGATCCAGCGTTTCACTGTGAGAGGCTCTGGTGATGAAGGAGAAAAGTGTGAGTTCTCCTTCTGCACTGACAGACTGCTGAGAGAGTTCTGTGATCTAGAACAGAGCTGTATAAAAGAACGATGAGATCTCACACTTTTCTCATGGAGAGGCTCAGACAGGTTATTCAATGGGGAAAAAGTGAAAAAACCCAAAGGAAGGTGTTCAAACACGCCCAGGTTATTAGTCAGGCACAAACACGTGTGCCTGTAATCCCCATGTGTCAAACATAGTCAGGCCCGTGACACAGTCCTATTCGGCCCGCAAAATTATTCTAATTCTTTATTATTATTAGCCCGTTTCACCCTGAGATGCACTACAGCCCCCAGCATGCACTGCAACATAATGTGTGTTCTGACCCCCAACAATAATCTGTGGGTCAGCGGTTACACAAAAAGAAAAGATGCTGGGTGTCTCGTTCAAACAAATAGGCAGTTAAAAAAAAAAAATACTGCCTAAAACAATTTATTTTTATTTAGACTTATTTTTAAATAAGTATTCAATGCCTATTTTGCTGTTGCAGTTTTGGCATATTTTGAATAAACAATGATCCGTTCAGGTCGTAGCAAAATGTTAAGTAAAAATGAAATATAAACACCGCTGGTCCACAGATCTGCTGAGGATTTATAACATGGTCCTTTCACTGGTTGAGTTTGACAGCCCTGCTATAATCAGTCAGACGGAAGGTGCATTAATTATACCCCACCTCCGAAGCAATTTCATTGGCTAAAGATAAGAATGTTTGCATGAGCCGCTGTGCGTGGGCATTTCTTAGGAGTCCAGCTCAGACTAGCCAATGCAATGAAGACAGTTAATTTGGGAAGTGGCTGGTTTGGAGGGGTTTTTTTACTCTCTCTTCACTCCTCACTGGAATTTTTCTTTTGACACCAAAGAGCACCTGATTCAAACAACATTTAAAGCAGTTAGACATTTCTTCATCATAGAGCGCGCCCACAACTACCCCTCCACAACAAAAGAGTTATTAATCCATACTATTTTGGTCGAAGTGAGAAATTCTGAGGGTTTTTTTCTCAGAAAATGGTTTAAGTCTTACTCTGATATCAAACCGGACTCACCGGAGTGTGTGTCTCTGAGATGGGGGCGAGTCGGGGGGCCGCAGGAATGGCCAGCGCTGCCATTATATACTCCAGATTCTTCGCTTCAGCAGACGGTTCCAGACTGAGACCCTGCAAACACCAAACAACATCAGCTGTAATAAGAATCACTCTGCACATTCAACTTTACCTCCATCACCTCGACTGACCCCTTAAACTGCAGCCAGACTACTCAGCTATTATCAGTCTTAAAGATTTACTCAATAATTACTGTACATTCAGTAATAAATGATTATAAATGATTATATGCTCTATTTTACTATTATATATTATATATTAATTACTATTATAAATTATCCAGTATCCACTATGAGTTCAGTATCCACTATTCAGTATCAATTATTAATTATTCAGTATCTACTATGAATTATTCAGTATCAATTATTAATTATTCAGTACCTACTATGAATTATTCAGCATCTACAATTAATTATTCAGCACCTACTATGAATTATTCAGAATCTACTATGAATTATTCAGTACCTACTATGAATTATTCAGAATCTACTATGAATTATTCAGAATCTACTATGAATTATTCAGTACCTACTATGAATTATTCAGCATCTACAATTAATTATTCAGCACCTACTATGAATTATTCAGAATCTACTATGAATTATTCAGTATCTACTGAGTTATTCAGTATCTACTGAGTTATTCAGCATCTACTATGAATTATTCAGTACCTACTATTAATTATTCAGCAGCCACTATAAATTATTCAGTATTCACTATGAATTATTTAGCAAATACTATGAATTATTATTCAACTTCTATGAATTATTCAGTGATATGAAACTGGCATGAAATACATAAAGCATCATGCAAACTATACAACACTGACAAAATACACCATATTCATTTTAAAATGGTAAACACACACTGTAAGCTTAAACTCATTCAATCTAAAACCCTAAACGCTTGTATTTTACTAGCACGAGATGGAAGGAAAATGTGGGGAAGGGTGTGGTGTCTTACCTCAGCGCCAACACAGGAGTGATGCACTGTGGGAATTTCACTGAGCAGCTTCTTGGTTAAGCTCTTGGCGAGCTCCACGTGCTGAGAGAAACCATCCTGAGGGCTGAACTGGACCGGAGCTGAGGTGGACACGGCCAGGAGGGAACAGAGAAGAGCAGCAACTGTGGAGTAACAGAGAAACAATCAGTCCAGAGTGAAGCATTAGGTTCTACTGAAAATGATGAGAAATCACTGCCTAATCAGCTTCATAAGCAAAAGTTTGACCATCAAGAACAGTTAGTTCTGTTTTTTTCCTCACAGCAGGAGAAAAGAGGAGAAACCTACAGCAAACACAATGAAACAGAGTCAGACTTACTGAGGAGAGGGCTCATGGTGTTTCTGCAGGGAAGTTGTTGCTGTAAAGTTTTCAGTTTTCTGAGTTTGCTGTGGTGCAGATGGGCGGGAGTGCAGGGCCCCTATATAATGCCCTGATGGAGGGCGGAATCAAGGAAATTGAGGAATAAGGGAAATTCGAGAGCATTCATATTACGACAGTGGACGATGAGCATATATGGGATCACTACAGGATGTGCATAATACACTGCATCAGAGGGGGCTTATATTTAATGCAGAGGGGCTCACAAGCTTCCCAAAACTGTTTCTTGACCTTGTTTCCTGAGAGAAGAGTCTGTATCTCAGGGAAAAGGGCTCATGAAGGGGGGACTTCCATTATCCACAGTTTCAACACTCTTAACTCACTCCACTCATATTTAATACGTATCTCACACTGTACTTTAGTTTTAGCCCCCCGGCACATCCAGGACACAGACGTCATGTAATTCCTACTTCCTCCTTCTCAAAACGTCAAACACGACATGCTTAACTGCTATTGCCCAACCTTGGCTTCCCCTCTGTACCCGTCTTACAGTGGGTAGAGGTGTCTTACTCACCAGGGAAAGAGGAGTCATTCCATCAATGCAGGAAGGCACAGACGGACATACATACCACTAAAGACAGATGTCATTCTTCCTTTTTTAATTTTTTTTTACATTAATCTGAAAATACCAGCTTCCTTTTACACTGTGTGTGAATTCCTCGATGAATGAACCAACAGAAACGGATGTTCTGGCAGTGAGTGTGGCTGCCACTTAATAACATCAGACTGTGTCAGAAACTGGTTCAGTGTGTTTACGCTTAATAATCTGATAACTGCAGAAAATCAGATTGTGTCAGAAACTGGTTCAGTGTGTTTACGCTTAATAATCTGATAACTGCAGAAAATCAGATTGTGTCAGAAACTGGTTCAGTGTGTTTACACTTAATAATCTGATACCTGCAGAAAATCAGATTGTGTCAGTAACTGGTTCAGTGTGTTTACACTTAATAATCAAATAATTGCAGGAAATCAGATTGTGTCAGAAACTGGTTCAGTGTGTTTACACTTAATAATCTGATAACTGCAGAAAATCAGATTGTGTCAGAAACTGGTTCAGTGTGTTTACGCTTAATAATCTGATAACTGCAGAAAATCAGATTGTGTCAGAAACTGGTTCAGTGTGTTTACGCTTAATAATCTGATACCTGCAGAAAATCAGATTGTGTCAGAAACTGGTTCAGTGTGTTTACGCTTAATAATCTGATACCTGCAGAAAATCAGATTGTGTCAGAAACTGGTTCAGTGTGTTTACGCTTAATAATCTGATACCTGCAGAAAATCAGATTGTGTCAGTAACTGGTTCAGTGTGTTTACACTTAATAATCAAATAATTGCAGGAAATCAGATTGTGTCAGTAACTGGTTCAGTGTGTTTACGCTTAATAATCTGATGACTGCAGAAAATCAGATTGTGTCTGAAACTGGTTCAGTGTGTTTACACTTAATAATCGAATAATTGCAGGAAATCAGATTGTGTCAGAAACTGGTTCAGTGTGTTTACGCTTAATAGTCTAATACCTGCAGAAAATCAGACTGTGTCAGAAACTGGTTCAGTGTGTTTACGCTTAATAATCTGATGACTGCAGAAAATCAGATTGTGTCAGTAACCGGTTCAGTGTGTTTACGCTTAATAATATGATACCTGCAGAAAATCAGATTGTGTCAGTAACTGGTTCAGTGTGTTTACGCTTAATAATCTGATAACTGCAGAAAATCAGATTGTGTCAGAAACTGGTTCAGTGTGTTTACGCTTAATAGTCTAATACCTGCAGAAAATCAGATTGTGTCAGAAACTGGTTCAGTGTGTTTACGCTTAATAATCTGATACCTGCAGAAAATCAGATTGTGTCAGAAACTGGTTCAGTGTGTTTACGCTTAATAATCTGATAACTGCAGAAAATCAGACTGTGTCGGTAACTGGTTCAGTGTGTTTACATTTAATAATCTGATACCTGCAGAAAATCAGATTGTGTCAGAAACTGGTTCAGTGTGTTTACACTTAATAATCTGATACCTGCAGAAAATCAGTAACTGGTTCAGTGTGTTTATGCTTAATAATCTGATAAGTGCAGAAAATCAGATTGCATCAGTAACTGGTGCAGCGTGTTTACATAAACATAAATCATATACAGAAACATAAATCATGTAGAAGATAAAGAATTTCTAAATCCTTCATTTGGTCGAGCATGTATTCGGTTTCAGTGTCGCTCCAAAAGTGCTGTGCTGTGTCTCACGGGTGCTGTGTTAAACGCTGCTCGCTGTTTCTGGGACAGAGTTCTGTTTTCGCACATGCTCAGACTGAGAGAAATGAAAGAAATCAGAGTAAGAGTATACATGCACTGAGAAATCTGATTACTGAGCTCGAATCCAGCCTCTTTATCAGATTTCTTAATCAGATTTATAGATGTCAATCTGATCGAAGAAATCAGAGTGTGCTGTTTACACGACCATTTTATAATTCGATAACTGCAGAAATCTGATAATGATCTGATTATTAAGTACATGTAAACGCACGCAGTGACAATATGTTGTTTTGCAATAGAATAGCATGCCATGACCATGCTGGGTGACCAGCTAAAAACCTCCACTAGACCAGCATAAAAACCACTACGGAAACCACTACGCTATGTTTCTAAACCTGCTTTGACGCTACACCTATCTTGCATGCTAAACCTGTCTTGCACTGCTTTACACACTAAACTCGCAACACATGCAACCCTGCTTTAAATGCTAATCCTGCTTTACACACTAAGCTGCTTTCATAGACTTAGACTAACCCCTTACAATGGCCTGGTCTCATCAGTGGCCCAAAGCTTTATTACACATGTCTATAGCCTAAGAACAGCTCAGCCAGTTTGCACTGAAGTCCCTGTAGTTAATGAATAATAAGCCATAGTATGAAATACACCTGGGGTTAGAACTAATCCTAGACTAAGACTAGACATAATCCATGTCCAGGAAACTGGCCTTAAATTTACTGTAAACATTGAACCTCACATGCTACACTAAACCTGCTGTACACTCTAACTTGCTTTGAACAGACTGTAAATCTGAAAAAGCTGCTCCAACAGCATAAATTCTGCATTTGTGTTTCAGTTTTGGTCTTAATATGTGTTTGCAGATTCAGCTTCTTTTACCTTACACAGAGCATTAAATGGGCTAAATCCAGCCGGTGATGTTGTATCTGAGAGTGCTGGCTTCCGCTCAGGAATCCTGATATGCTAGACGTACAGTGACTGCAGACGAGTCGTGGCTTGTCACAGCCTCGTGTATATGTGAGTGTGTGTGCTGCACTTCATCACTGAGGCTTGATGTGATATCCACCTGAACAGAGATCAGAGCAGTGAGAAACGACCAATGCAGGAATTGCAGCGTAAAAACACCGGAAGTTCACACTATTAACCTACATTTACAACAAATATATTTATTATACTTTTTTATTTATAAATACTTATTTTTTAAATAATATCTGGTGTATAGAAGCCCGAACACTGACCATTTCCAAGAGAGAAAAAAAATCTTTCTTGGGTGTCAGTTTGACATCTTTCGAAGTTTAACATTTCTAAATAAATGACTCACAGTTTTGCTTCATAATTTATGACTTTTCCTCATTTAAAACACATTTGATTGTTCTGGATGAAACTGAGGTCACTATAACATGCAGTTATATAATCCTCAAATAATTTCCCTCTGGAATATGGCACTAACCTAACATACCTAACCTAACATACCTAACCTAACATACCTAACCTAACATGCCTGACCTAACATAACCGCACCTGTAACACACCTAACCTAACATACCTAACCTAACATACCTAACCTAACTTAACCGCACCTGTAACACACCTAACCTAACATACCTAACCTAACATAACCGCACCTGTAACACACCTAACCTAACATACCTAACCTAACATACCTAACCTAACATGCCTGACCTAACATAACCGCATCTGTAACACACCTAACCTAACATACCTAACCTAACATAACTGCACCTGTAACACACCTAACCTAACATACCTAACCTAACATAACCACAACTGTAACATACCTAACCTAACATACCTAACCTAACATAACCACACCTGTAACATACCTAACCTAACATAACCACACCTGTAACATACCTAACCTAACATAACCACACCTGTAACATACCTAACTCAACATAACCACACCTGTAACATACCTAACCTAACATACCTAACCTAACCACACCTGTAACATACCTAACCTAACATACCTAACCTAACCTAACACACCTGTAACACACCTAACCTAACATACCCAACCTAACCACACCTTTAACATACCTAACCTAACATACCTAAACTAACATAACCACACCTGTAACATACCTAACCTAACATACCTAAGCTAACATAACCACACCTGTAACACACCTAACCTAACATACTTAACCTAACATAACCACACCTGTAACATACCTAACTTAACATAACCACACCTGTAACACAAATAACCTAACTTAACCGCACCTGTAACATACCTAACCTAACATACCTAACCTAACATAACCACACCTGTAACATACCTAACCTAACATACTGAACCTAACATAACCACACCTGTAACACACCTAACCTAACATAACCACACCTGTAACACACCTAACCTAACTTAACCGCACCTGTAACATACCTAACCTAAAATACCTAACCTAACCACACCTGTAACATACCTAACCTAACATAACCACACCTGTAACACACCTAACGTAACATACCCAACCTAACCAAACCTGTAACATACCTAACCTAACATACCTAACCTAACATAACCACACCTGTAACGTACCTAACCTAACATACCTAACCTAACATAACCGCACCTGTAACACACCTAACCTAACCTAACATACCCAACCTAACCACACCTTTAACATACCTAACCTAACATACCTAAACTAACATAACCACACCTGTAACATACCTAACCTAACATACCTAAGCTAACATAAGCACACCTGTAACACACCTAACCTAACATACTTAACCTAACATAACCACACCTGTAACATACCTAACTTAACATAACCACACCTGTAACACAAATAACCTAACTTAACCGCACCTGTAACATACCTAACCTAACATACCTAACCTAACATAACCACACCTGTAACATACCTAACCTAACATACTGAACCTAACATAACCACACCTGTAACACACCTAACCTAACATAACCACACCTGTAACACACCTAACCTAACTTAACCGCACCTGTAACATACCTAACCTAAAATACCTAACCTAACCACACCTGTAACATACCTAACCTAACATAACCACACCTGTAACACACCTAACGTAACATACCCAACCTAACCAAACCTGTAACATACCTAACCTAACATACCTAACCTAACATAACCACACCTGTAACGTACCTAACCTAACATACCTAACCTAACATAACCGCACCTGTAACACACCTAACCTAACCTAA